CCCCCCCCCCAAAAAAAGAAGCTCACGGCTCGGACTAACTCTACATCCCTACATCTCGTTCGACTCTTAAGTTCAGGAAGTTGGTTTATCTCGTAATATCAGTGGTCTTCCCACTTGACAATTTCTACTAGCACTGATTTTCTGGGAGGAGGGGTGGTGTTTGGTGATATAAAGGGGTTTTGTATTACGTGTGGGATGTGTGGGATATTATGGTGCGCGCAAATGGGGTTTTGAAGGCTGTTTGAGAGCCTGTAGTTAGGTTGTTGTTAGGATAAGGGTTTTTGGATATTTTTTGTTTAGTAGGAGGTAGGTTCTAGAGTAGCTTGGCTAGGGGTATAGTAGTTAGTAAGTATGGGATTTATATTAAATAACTAGTAAGCGTACTTAAGAACCCTCTAGATCCTCTAACTATCCTAGGACCTTATTAGTAAGAGACTATAACGGACTATATAAGTAACAAACTAACTAATAGGTAGTACTAAATCTAAAGAACTATATAATTTATATTAGCGATAGTAAATAGAGAAAAAGAGAGTCGCTAGCTGTCATAGCTGCGTGTGTTACATAGGGAATCTCTTAGTACTAGATATACGTAGAAACTCCCACGCAAGGGGTAGTTGAAGACTTTTCATTTCACGGGGGGAAGAGGGATAGTTCAGTTAATTACTCACTCCGCACAGATATTGAATTCCAAACAAACAAACAAAAATCACACCTCGTATATTCCATTATATATCTTGCGAGCTCTCTTGTAATCGAAGTATAAAGTCCTATATATTCCTCCTCTCCGTCAGAACTCCATGTTCCTCCAGCGTTAGCGCGTATAATCATTTTCTGTTCTACAGTATGGTACCTCCAAATCCTCTTTTTGGTTAATTACTAATTAGATGATCGAAAATGACACACTATAGATTTGAGGAATTGGGATGTAGTGGTGGAGTGGCTAATAGGTTAATGCGTTTTTGTTGTGGCTTCGTGGAGTATGGAACGAGTTTAAATGTGAGTGGAATAAGGAATGTGAACTGGAATGAGATCTACTGTACTTTGTACACGCATCCAACCAGGCAACTAACTTTGTACAGAAAAGACGTAGAACAGCGAGAGTTAGCACAAGACATAAACCAAGGACGAAACAAAAATCTAGGAAATGAAGCTATTTCTAGATTCTTTAATTGATTTAGGTGCCCTTTTTGAACTTTCTACGAAGATCGTGCTTTGATTAAAATTTAACTCTTATTATTAATGGAAATGACGGATTCTTCGGCAATGAGACTTAATCAATAGTAACGTCTATTTACGGCATCCTGAATGTACTAAAAGGCCGAATAGAGTTAATACTAATTCGCAAATCGTAAATCTTAAATTTTAATCCTGTTTAGTACGAAATCGTAATCCGTAAATTGTAAACTAGCTTAGGGTTAGGGTTATATAATAGCGCTGGAATTAAAGGTAAAAGTACTTAATATAAGTAAATAAGCTTAAATTTAACTTAAATACTCCTACCCTCGAATTTATCCATAATACTCCTTCCTTCGAATTTAACTCGAATACTCCTACCCTCGAATTTAACTTAAACGCTCCTTTAACTCTACCACTCCCCCCCTCTATATAAACCTCTTCTACTACTAAATAACCTTGACTACTACTACTACTAAGAGATCTTCCTTTATAAACTTAATAAAGGAGGAGGAGGAAGAGGAGGAGGATCCTACCTTAGGTCCTATACTATAGATATCGTAGATATTATAAATATTATAGATCGCTCCTACTAGTAAATATTAGCTTGTTTTACTATCGATTTAGGTAGTACTATCGAATTAGGTATTACTATCGATACCTTTATATAATTCCTTACCCTAAAACCCTACTAAATAAACTACTTCTACTACTAAATATCCTTCTTAACTACTACTACTATTAATTAATTCCCTCGTTACTTAGAATAGGAAGAGGAGGAGGAGGAGGTAGTTACGCTATTCGTAGCTATTAACTTCGACTTTTACTTCTATAATATCCTCTATAAAAGGAGGAGTAGTTATATCTACTATACTACCTATAGTCGGTTAGTTTTAGGAGGGATTCGATTAATAAGATATTTATTTAATAAAAGTCCTAACAAGAGTATAAATTAGTAAGCTATAAGTTCTTAAATAGGAAGGATGGAGTAGTAGATTACGCTTACCCCTTAATTTATACCTATCTATATACTCCTATACTTAGAAATTCTCTCTCTATTAAATATAATAAATATACCTACTCTAATTAATCTAGAGCTATATTAAGAGTTTATTAAGAATCTATATTAAAGTAGATTTAATTTATAAGAGATATTAATAGCGCTAGATAATAAGTATAATATTATTATTAGAATAATAATGTAACGAATACTCAAACTGGCTAACTAAACTTGGCTGGGTGTTCGCTGGTTGGTATGCTATGATAAGAAGAAGACTATCGGGTTGTTCACTTGGAAGTGAACTCGTTACTTGTATCAAAGATGTCAAATAAATATGATAAGATTGATAACTAAGTTGAGCACGAAGCTCCTATTTAATGGCAGACGTGCCAGTCCTATATAGAACCCTCATTCCCATGATCGCTGCTGGTCGCCGCGACCAAGCGACCACTACTGGTCACGTGATAACAATACAGAGAAATCCCTGGATCGCTTAGCTACTCCAAACGATCCCTTTTTGCTATAAGAAACCTGGATGTGCCTGTCGAGGGTTGCGCCTCTTATTATGACAAGTATCACGTGAGCACGTGATTCGTGACAAGAACTTGAATATTAATAAGATAGAGTAAGCCTATCTTAATAAGGAGCTTTAGGAGCTTATCTTACCTATACTATTACTAGTACCTATTAGGAATAGCTTTACTTTAAAGAGGAAGAGGGAGGCCCCTTATACTACTAAACCTAGTAAGGTTTATAGTAAACTAACAAGGAAATAGTAAAGGCGTATATAAGAGAGATTAGTTCTACGAACTAAAACTTTAATATAAACAAGTTATTAATTTCCTTCGCGAACTTAATATATAGTATACACTAGTAGTTAATTCGTACTATTAAAAGCGCTATATATCTGTTTACTTGTTTTATTCTTAAGTACTTATATCCTATTATAATATATACTAGTTTTTCTTAGTATCTTAATATTTTATAATAGTTAAGGTAGAGTTTTAAAGTCGTATAGTATATATATTTAGCTTAATACTAGCTAGTATATATTAATAGAAAGTAAGCGGTTGGTAACTTACAAGGATTATATATATCTTTAATTTAAGTTTATACTATAATCCTATCCCTTGTCCTTGTTTATTTCTCTATAAATAGCCTTATTTTACCTTTAATTCTAGCGCTGTTATATAACCCTAACCCTAAGCTAGTTTACGATTTACGAATTACGATTTCGTACTAAATAGGATTAAAATTTAAGATTTACGATTTACAAATTAGTATTTACTCTATTTAACCTTTTAGTACATTCAGGATGCCGTACTATTCTAGCATGCGTACCCATTGACAAGTTACTAGTATTCTTAGTCAAATCGATGATTTGATACTTATAGTAACACACCAGATACTTAGCAAGACAAACTTTTGATACCAAGTGCAGCTTTGCACTCTCCTTCAAAGTCAATCTAAAAGAAAAAGGAGACCCACCTTGCAAGTATCACCAGTGCGCCTACACTCCTCGTTTTCTGTTGGAGATGATGGATATTCACATCACCATTATCTTGATGTTCAGTCTCAGAGGATTGTTTGAAACCAGACAGAATAAAAACGAGTATTCCTAAATTTCGAGATCTTTGAATTGGCAAGGGAGGTAAGATTTTACTAATATTGACGAGAGCTCCTTATATTCTTCCAACCTCTCCATATGCCAATATACTCCGTTATGACATGGAGAGTATTGGACATCATTAAAGCGTGGAAAGAAGCAAAGGGAGAAGAAACCAGAATAATACTTGTAAGGGTATAGGTCTTGGAAGGTATGTGCCTCGGAAGCTTGTAGTGAGAACACAAAACAAATACGACATCAAAAGGTCAACGAAAAGTAAACAATGCAGGGAATGTAATCAAGTTGAAATTTCTGTGAAGAACACACTTACCATCAGCATGTAAAAATTGACCGTCCAGTGTCAACTTGCTCTACGCGACTAAAGCCTTCTGACAAACATCTTTTATTGATTTCACATCCTACCATGCAGGCCATGAGAATTAGAGATCTACGCCCACATCACTCATCAATCAAACCATCATGAAATGCATGATTTACTTTCGTTATAATGGAAGAACGAAGCCACCCAACCCTCTAACTTGACCATACGAGCCCTTTAAGTATTGCCAATCCCAACACCTAGGAACGCCTGCAATGAATTGAATCGCGAATATATCTTCAATGCTTAAGGCCCTGAGCCATGTTTAATTGGCTTCAATTGACATGGGACTACCACCACCATTAGGGCGTTGGTCTTTTTGCTGGGCTCTCAATCCCGTCGATCGTGGTTGTGTACGTACCCCGTTGTTCTCCATGTCATCCTCGCTTTCTTCTGCCGCACCATAGATTGTAGCTTCGTCCAGCTCCCTAATATCAAGTGGTCGATTACGTAACCATTTCATTCTCGGCCCACTTCTTGCTCGTTCCGACACCTTGAATCCAAAGATTTTGGGCTCGTACATCTTGCCTCTGCCTAGCCCAGGTCCCAAATTCTGTACATTCATGCCATTTATCTTCTCCTTTTCCTCATCTCCGCCCCCTGCAGTGCTTCGAGATCCGTGGGCAAGAGTTTCTGCGCCCTTTTTGCTGATATCGTAATCTGGAAATGTAAGTAGGAATAGGGCCCCGAAGGTTCGACCAAAAAATGCGCCGTCCACCGTTTGAAATCTAGAGTTTGGTGGGACATAAACATCCAAGCAAGAAGGGCAGAAAAGTTTCACTGTATCATCACCTGGGACATCGGAAAGACCAACGGGTAAGGTGCGCACGCCTTCGCAGAATGTTCGAGGGCAGACGCCAAAGTGCCCTAGCTCATACTTTTCGGACATTTGCTGTATACCGGCGCGCGAACAGATGAAGCGCTGATGGATAAGACCGTAGAGCATCTCGGCGGAGGATTCGATGATCGATAAGTCGGAAGCCATTCGATGGTGTCTTCGTTCCACGGTGGTTCTACGGTTCGCGCGATCGTCCCCTTCAATGGATTCATCGCCCTCGTCTTCCTCCTCCTCCTCCTCTTCATCTTCTTCGTCTTCCGGTTCAACATCCAAAATCATCTGAGGAAATTAGCGCGAGGACTAGTCAGATTATTGTTGCGTCCTACCTCTAACGCCTCCTTGTACATGGCGACCTGGGTCTGCAGCCCCGTCAAGTTGAAGTCATCTTCTATAAAGTCCTCTGATATCTCTGCAAAGTATTCGTGGCCGAGGAGTGAACAGAAAGAGGAGATCCAAGACTCCGGGGTGCCAGAGGAGGAAGACATCGTATCAGGACGTACTTGGATCAAGCTTCACAAGCTTAATCTGCGCGAGCCTTTTCGAGTTTTGATAACCGTATCCCTTCAATTCGATGCAGCCGTATGACCTCTCTGGAGAGGTCTCAAGATGGTATAAGTATTTTGTGTTTGTCTGGGTTTGGTTCTGTCGTAATCGGGGCTGTCTCTATTTTTGATGAGGGGTAGTACGTGACTGCGCCTACGGAGACTGTGAAGGGGGAAGTTGGATTTTGGGCTTGTGGGGTATCTTGAGTCTAGTACTAGTGAGCGGTGAGGTCAAGATAAGATAGAGAGATGCGCCTACCGAGAGGTAAAGATGCAGTCTGCGAGAGAAGGTTCTGGCTATGAAGAGAGGGGGGTCGGTGCGGGCGTTTCTCCAACCGCAACGTCTGCGGCTAAGTGTTAATTTTCGTGCTAGGTGATAGGCACAAAGTATCTCGAGTCTAGGAACTCAAGAGGGAGGGATGGCTTGGTGGTGGAGGTGGGAGTTGATCTAGGAGTGAAGGCCTTCTTGTGCTGGCATCGCTGTGTTGGTGGGAGAGGTGATTTGCGCCAGATGTTGACACCTGCAGGGGTGCATTGATTCCTGTCACGTGAAATACCCCCTTCCTTAACCCCATTCGGCAGTAAACAACCTCGCTATTGTTGAAGTTTTCGAATGCATTTCGTTTTTTCAAATTCGGATGTGAATTTGAATCATCCTGTAAAGTGACAATTGAAAATCGAGATATTTGGCCATGAAAATGTGTTATTTAGACCAATTTCAACGCTCCGGCTATTCATTCCTGCTACAGGGTCGACATGTTGAGACTTTGCTGCAACGAAACGAAAGAATTCAATAATGTGTAAAATTTATGGAAACGTATATCATGGTCATTTTCGAGTTTTCTTACAGCTTGCTACCTGATCACTGCATGTTCTAATCAATCCAATATGAGACCTGGTCGTCGCCCGCGTACACCACAAAGGTCAGGATAGAAGCACTAGAGTATTCAAGTCAAACTCTTTCAGCTTACCAAAATAACTGCCAACGGCAAATTTTAATTGTTCCTATATCTTGGGAAGTCTAAATGATTGCTTATAGCTATCTAATAAGAATACAATTTGTGTTTACATAGGTGTGCGTAGAGCAACGACGGCACCTTTCACACTTTTAACACTGTCGCTATACGCATACAGAGCTTGAAAAATTAGATCTCTACGCTAAGATGCGGTATGATCGAAAAAGGAAGAAATGTAGAGGAGTTTAGAACTGAGAGGGATATTGTTTGAGAAAAAAGGCATAGGAAAGTTCTATAAATTGAGAATTGAAGCAACATCAAATGGTTAAACCAGTAACCAAGAGTTACCAAAAGATAGCAATCGCTCAAAAAGCGATCTAGTGCTAAGATGTGAACGGAGAACAAAAATGTAGAAGCAGGCTTTTAGGAAAGAAACGACAACGAAATTAAAATAGAGCAACAATTTACAAATCCCTATCAAAACAGAAATTGTATCCTCTGACTAGCATCTGCTAAATTCAGTTTTCTGCGACAAAATGCATAAGAAAGAGAAGGTTTGCTGGTACTCACTGTTACAACACATCTAGAATATTCCAGATAAATCACCAAGCAATGATGGCCTTTCTCTCATCCCTTGTTCCATCAATATTCAGCAATGATTTCTCATTCAGAACCTTGATAAACCAATCAGCGATATGGTAATCGACAAGCGTAAGCCTGACTCGATTTTCTTCTGGGACAACCCAGTGGTTGTTTTGGCCTGCTCGAGACCCAGCCCGTGATGTTTGGTTTTGGGCACCAAGATATATCCCAGTTTGCTCAGTATTTAAGTGCTGGTTTAATCCAATTGTGTTCATGCTGTCGAAAACTTCTACTGTTCTGTTTTCATGACCCCATTGGTCCTGTTTTCTCAAATCAGAACTTGAATCCATGTATTGGAAGTGATTAGTCGGCATTCCTTGTATTTCTGGCATCGCCCCCATATGCGGTCCATGTTGAGGCAGAGAAAGTCCCTCTTCTTCCCAGCTTGCGACCCAGCGACAAACCCGTGCGCTCAAAATGGCATCCCACATCCCTTCTTGCACTGGATTCGAGAATAAAAGATCCAGGGCTTCACGTCTGACCACGGGGTCTCGACATTTAGTAGCGGTAAAGTGGAGAGCTGGAATGATTCCAGCATCGAGGCTGAAGCGTGGCATTTGTGGAAGTTGGTGGGTCAAACCTCGTGAAGTTACCAACATCCTGCATATGCGGACGATGTATATAAACTCCTGCTGAAAAGAGTCATATACCATTGCTGAATCCTCTGATACAATTGCCAGAGCAACGGTTGTACACTTTTGATAAAGCGAGATGACAAGAGCGGCAGGATTGATGACTGTACCGTCAAATTTAGTTGCAACATCGTGAAATGGCCGAGAGGCGGACTCGAAAGAGGATAGTTGATGTCTCCAGAATAGGACCTGGCTATCGATGTCGCTTCGGGAGTCAGAAGTCTCAGGGGCAAAGTTTCTGCTAAACAGAACACGACGGTAGAACTGCAACGCACGATCCATAAGATGATCCCAACAACGATGCGCTATATGGAAGTTCGTAAAAGAGTTTGGAATCGGTAAATGGTGAGCATGTTGTACATCCCAAATTAAGGGAGGAATTGATGGCGCTATTCCAAAGAAAAGGCCATGGCCGTCAAGACGCACAAAGGCTTGAACCAAGATATCTTCTAGAACGAGGTCGTTTTGCAGGAGAAGTGGTGGGCTCGGATCTCGTGAGAAGATTTGTTTCTGTGCACCAGCTGATGATGTTTGGGCTGAAGGAAGAGACAATGAAGAAGATCTTGACATGTTTGTGCCCAGGATGGGTGACGAATTTACCGAGGTCGATCGACTAGAAGGAAGGTCTTCATTGCTTTGCAACCACCCCCAATTGGAATTCAGCATATTGCTAGGCAGTGCGTTCAGGTAATCGTTTAGTGAGTAACCCAGAGTCTCATGACTGACGTGCGGCCCCGCCCCAGATGAGCCATACAACATGTTTTTGTGATCTGGATGTGATAGTTCAAATCCAAAAGAACTGCTTAGGACCGGAGACGGTGCCTGAATGCCGATTTCAGGCTGCGAAATGCTCTTGTCCTCGAGGAATTCTTGAATGTGTGCTCCTATAGGTGACTCAATTTCAAAACCTCCATTGTGCAACTGATCTTCAATCTTCTGCGGAAGAACCACGTATCTTGCTGAGGCCCTGCGTTGGTGGGCAGGAGGGTTTAAAGTCGGAGAGAGCATTGTTGGATTTCCACCATAATAACTTTTCAACATTTTAAGCCCGCCATGAATTTGTTGTACGCAAGAAACATAGCTCCCCTGAAGGATTTCAAAACAAGTAAAAAGTAAACAAGTGATAAGCGTATTCCTCAATTGTGGCGATCGAGATGAGGATATGTATTGTTTCAACGCCTGTATTCCCTTGAGATGCTGTAAAACCGCTTGTTCATGATGTTTTTGGTCGACTGTCTGGGTCATGTTGACCTTCAGATTCGGTGGCGGGGCATTCTCCAAACTCTTCGTAAGAGCACCAAGAGCTATGACAGCGTGTCGAATGGCGCTTAGGTTGTGAGTTTCTTGTAGAACGAGTCGGGTCCAGAAATGGCTGCTTGGAGTACCTTCAAAATAACCAGAAAGAGCATGCACGGTTCTTTCGGAAAACACCTGGAAGTAGCGGCTTTCGTCTTCTGTATCGTGAACAGAAAAGTTAGGACTATAAAATCCACTAGAAGGAGTTCGAGGACGTAAATTGCTAAACACCCGGCTCTATGGTTACTCTGGGAGATAGCCGTCACATTTGCGGCCAAATTTCTGGCATCTAATATGCCGAGAGTTAGTTATAGAGCCCCCCAGAAATATTTTGAAGGCAGAAAATCACCTACCTAATACATTCTGGCTTGGTTTCATCGCACTTAACCCTCCGAGTCTAAGAATAGTGTCAGTTATGCTCAGCTCATTTCCGACTATGCTCCCCCCCTTTATAGTGGTTGAAGCCTTCAGGATTAGGTTCGCCCTCCAAACTTAAATCTCGGAAACCTCTCTTTGAAGGCTCCTTATTGAATTATTTCAGTTCAAAAAATGAAACTCTGAATTTGATGTCAAGGATAGAAATTTGCCTACCTTGCAAGTGATGCACCCGGACTTGACTTTTGGCCTACTAGCCCGTCCCCTCTTTCAAGGGTTGCCTTCTTTCTCAACAGATGGTCGGCGAATTAGTTCGGTCGGTGTCTGTGGGACTGGAGATAAATATGGCGACTTTGGGGATTTTGATTGATCCATGTGGAGAGAATTCAGTGTAGGTGCTGGGACACAAGATTTTGATGGATTGTGAAGTGGTTATATGTGAAATTAATGAGTTGGAAGGCGAAGGCCTAGACAACGTCGTCCAAGTTATGAACTTTTCTCGTACGAATGCTACCTGCGTGTTGATAATGCTCCAGTAGGTGATGAACCCAAGAAATGTGGGAACTTCATCTTGTAATAAATAATCGAAAGTTGGCGGTGTTGCAGGTGAGGGATACGGAAATGTTTGGCATTGAAATGGAGGAAGGCCAAACTGACGACCCTCCCGAGAGCAGTGCCTTGTTGACTCTCCGCAAAATTGCTATGCATGTACCTGGGCCCTGTAAAGATCATGTCTAGTACCATGATGGCGGTACATCTATCCCGGTACGGTGGATTACAAGGGTAGATGAGAGAACAGCAGCCACATCTGAAAGACTCGAAATACAAGATCGCTATTGTAGAACAAGTGTCAGGCGAGTGAGCGCTATTCCATGTTTGACCAGAAGCTCTCAAGTGACTAGGTTGGCGAGTGTCACCATGCAACCCTTCTTCGGTTATCCATAGTGGCGTATCTCTAGCGAATACTTAGCCATGTCAATGAGATTACCCCCGGACTCTAGTGTGGCGTTGATATCTTTGAGTTGGCGATATAATGGCTAGAGATGTCATAATTACTCTGATTTGCTTGTCATAACCGCCATAGATGTGTAAAGGGGCGCCTCGAAGGGGAATTGAGGAAGGATTCTCGAGCCACAGTTCAAACTTGTCACCTATCAGCCCTATAGTTTCGAGCTAGAGTCTTGGCCGCTGACGCATGCCACATTGTAGATTTTCCGTACCATGGTTTCTTTCTGGACTTCAAAAACGGGGAAACTAGCGCGGTAGCTACATATGGAAAGCGTTACCCAGAGGAGTGGGGCAATCGCAGAGCCAATCTACCCAGAGCAAGCACCAGTCCCAATCGACAGGATAGTGAAATTTGGGAGCTTATAGAAAATCCATCTAAAGAACTGGCTTTATGATATTCGGTTGAATTGGAAGTAAGGTGATTTCGATTGCGTGTGAATAGTGACGGTGAAGGTATTGAGGTTCACTGGCTGCAGGCGAGCGGCGGGGTTCCTCGCTTACAAGGGGTTAACAAGATTTGCGTTTTGATAGGGCAAATGTGCGACCCTCTAGACGGGCGGAACACTGTTTGTAGATGTTCTGTGAATATGTGAGATTTTGAATATCTCGGAGCCGAATTTGGTACCGACACTTGCTTGCTATTTATGATTCAAGGTGCAGATGGTTCTATTCCGCAGATACTAGACTAGGTGTAACTAGTGTTGTTTCGTTGGTCTAGAGAGACCCCAGATCTGTAAGAACACAATTGTAAACTTCCATCCCTACCTAGATAATCAGGAACCGGGCAACTGGATCATTCCCTGCGATCTTTTACTGTTCCATTACCGCTGTTCGAGTTGCTCTTGTCTCGATACCTCCACTATCTCCCACGTGAAGGGTCATTTGACACAGTTTCGACGTCTGACCTGCTTGTATCAAATCTAACTTTCCTTGAAAAATTGTCTAGTTTGTTGCGCACTTGATTCTTACTGGCTCATTTTTAAATTCCAGGTTAAAGCGCAGTACAACCATCCCATATCGTAGAATATGCAATATAGAAGCGGGCAAAGTAACACCAGCCACTGCGGCTGATACTGTAAGATATTTACAGTGCGAGTAGTGGCGCTCGCCAGCGGCCAATTTTCCGGAACCCTTCTTGGATGAACATACATGTGCTGGCTCCGATGAAGATTTCTTCACCGAAAGAGCATGCGAATCCACTGTATGAAAAGCGTACTACTGGCATGAGAAAACTGCCCAAATACAACGCTCTGGTGTAGTTTTGGTTACACTCGCTTCCCTAAATGTAACGGTACTGTATGTATTCGTGATGTGCTCTGCATTAACTATGCTGACATGTTTCTCAGAATCCTCCGACTTGGGTCAGACCGCCTGCATACAATCATGAATCAACAACCATAGCGATCCATAATATCGTTGTTTTCCCGAATCGGCGGTTCTTCTTTCCCGTTTTCCCAAATTACGATTCTAAAATACGTTCTTCGGCATAGGTATCTGAGAAATGATAGGAGTGCACCTCACACCCAACCGACAGGTAACAATTTTGCGACCCCAACGTATGCTACGTGCCTTAGCTTGATTTGAGGGACTTTTGAGACGTCATACGCCTTAGATCTTGCAAGATAGGGCTGAGGAAACGCAAATCCGGGGCGAGGTATGCCTTGATTTTACATCTCATCCTAAACGTACATAGAAGACCCTCCCAATAATGTGTGTATGGCAGCTAGGGAAATTTAAGAAATGTGACTTGTACTGCATAGACACAACTACAAACACTCATGTAGAAGATTACTAATGGAGGGATCACTTAATGCCTTGCAGTATTAGTATGGGAGTTATAAGCTCGTTCCTAGCAGCTCATTTTTCGTAGTTGCCATTCTCTCATCAACAATTTAACTCATGATTTCAGCTCTCCTAGCCCTCCCACGGGTTACAACCTCAAGGGGAGAAATGTTCAGCATGCAAAGGTGGTGGGTTTTGGAGTGCTCAGGTAACTAAAGGTGACAAGCATGGAAAGACAACATATCGCAAGCGTTTCGAATGTGGTTCTTACATAACTATCGTTTTGATGAACGGGTATTTGTACTCCGTGCTTCTCACACAACCCAACAGTGATAGTATCTAACAAATCCCAACGCACCTCACATGAATACTATTGATGTTTCATAAGTATCAATGTGAAGACAAAGTAACGAGACTTACTTTTCAGTATCTCACTCCTTCGTTGACAGACAGATTTGCTGCCACATCCAAGCGAGCTGTGGTAGTGAAGTCAGATATAACACAGATTAGATAGGCAGAGGCAGTCTGATATTTGTAAATATAACTACGGATTATTCTAGAACATTGAAACAATGAAGCAATTTACTCCCACTCTTTTTTATAATCTTGAGGCGGACTCCCTCTGTCCCTATGAATGCTACACATCATGCTGTCATACTTCAAGGTTGTAAATCACAGCCCTAAAGCAGGCATAAAACGAAACAAACACCGCATTGAGGTATTGCAGCATCGCCAAGCAGTGGGCTATCCGCCGAGACACATTAGCGCTTACACATGCCATCCGAAGCATCTGATAGCGGAGAAATTGACATAGAGAGTAAAGGAGCTATTGCAACTATTCCTTTAATATCCTACCTAGGTATTCTGATTGGATCATTTCGCCATAGAACATTATGTCAGATTCGCTTGACCATCCTTATTTGGAAGTGTCTACCATCACCGGTGAAGCAATTGGCACGTAGGGCAATGAGCAAATGGTATATCAGACATCCCTTTTCCATGCAACCGACTTCTGACCCAATCTATTTGGCGGGCTAGAGCTTCGTGTGCGGAATTAATAGTTACCGCCAATTCTACGCAACAACTTCCAGATCGGGAAGGATTCATATCACGTGAGCAGACATGTCACATCGCTGAAATCTCAATACAAAATCCTTCAGCTACTTGTGACTGTAGGGTACTGGAGGATGTAATTTGGACCCTCCATGTGCTCACCTGTGTTGAATCCTCGGTCTTGGGAGACCAAGAATCGATCTCTGTCAAGGCTCAGAATGCTAGAGAGTCAAGATTTTCCTGTTCTTTCTTGGAAGATTTATAGGGGCTCTTTTTTGATCTTGTGTAGAACCATTATCGAGAGAGGTAACTTCGCAGGCGACTTTTATGTCGACCCTCCCATACGTCCAGGTGCCGCTTTCAAACTGTTCCGAACCTTGTTTCTTCGGGGATACTGAAGTACGTGTATCCTTTTGACGACTGATCTGCGGTTCTTTTGTTACTGTGAATCGGAGAGTAAAGGGGTACGACGAAATGGCTGATTTTGAATTTACTCACTTGTTATGATCGCTTCAATTTCCACTACAAGCTTGTTGATGTAGAAAGAAGGAATTCACTATGGTTTTGGACAGGCGATTTCGGGAGAATCACGTCGCGCCTTTTCGACCCCGCTTCCGCATGACGAAAAATACGCACGCACGCACTCTTGGATTACTGCAATGCTCCTCAACTACATGCTCATCTAAGGAAACATATCCCAAGGAACTTGTGTTTCAAAAAGACTAGCAAAATGGCAGACCCATCAGCATATACCTATCCTTCTCCTCTGAAGGGTTACGAAAATCTCCCACCACTACCGATGGAGCGAGGAGTTGATTTGAAATCATTTGCAAACCCCAGAACCGGAGTCTTGAGCTCGAGTTATGATAGATTTGTCGAACCTTTAGACAATGGCATCAGAGGAGCTTTGTAGGTTTCTGACTTCCTTTTGATCCCGACGTGTTGGGGAGTTGCCAGTTTTGCTTTTCTCTAAACAATCCAGGTAGCCTTACAAAGTACAAAGTCAGCTGACAAATGTGCCAAAACAGCGATGTCCACATTTACTATTTCCAAGCAAACCAAGAGCAAACCAAGTTTGCCAAGGAGTTGTGGGAAAGAGTTAGGCGAGAATGTGAGTTGTAACCGGTGTATAATACAACCTCTTCTTGCTAATTTAGGAAAGTTCCTGAGTTGAGGATTTATACGTTTTGGGACAGACCAATTGGTCCTCAGTGAGTTTTGACTTTTTCTTCTCATTAGATCTGAGCATGTATTCCATCTTTTTACTTGGATCTAGTTGGATTCATAGTGGGTCCAATGGTCTCGCTTTCTCTTTTCTTCATACACTTTTTCAATATCCCAAATCAACACAAATCACAGATACGAACAAAATATCCTCAAAAGTTTCGTTCCCAATCAAGGCACTTATTCAGGAGCATGAGACCATACACTAATGTCCACAAGTCCAGTAGCAATGTTTGAAGTAAACATCTTCACACCTGCACAATTTGGAGCGTTCATCCCGTGGCTCGCCATCAATCGTGGACCTCTAAGTGCTCTCGTGCATCCCAATACCATAAACCCCGAGACTGGGAAGCATGAGGAGGAAGAGAGAGATCACACGCAGCGAGCAATCTGGATGGGGGAAAAGCTTCCTTTAGACCTTAGTGTTTTTAAGAAGAGGAAGAGCTAAGAGTGCTTGGTGTTTGGGAAAGTGTTGGGAAGTGGCATATTGGTGAATTTAGGGGTGACCTAAGTGGGAGGATTAGGTCTGTCGCTGTCAAGATTCAGTAGGACCTCTTCTTTAGTACTCTTTGCACTAATTTGGTGTAGCAGTTCCTTTTGAGTGCCTGTTCGTGTCAAATCTGGTAAGACTATGCTTTACAGAGTGAGATTGTATGAGGCGGGTTATTTTTCGTCCCTATATTTTATTCCTATATGCTCTGAATCCTGCTATATATAATTCTTTTTTGGCTACTCGTATTCTGTCTCTGAAAATTATTTTCTGCGATGGCATTGAGTACTACGCTGACTGAGGTTAGTCCACGAGTTCTGCTTCGTTGGGAAACTTAGTATCACCAGATCTAATAAATCTTCTACCACCATAATATAAATTTCTTATATCCAGGCGCTTCAGGACTGAACCAAAGGTTTTCGTTTGAACCAAACTATATAACTTAACTCACATATGTACATCAATCAAGGAGCGTTCTTATAAGAGAACCTCACCCCAAACACAAAAGATCCAAAAAAAAAGATCTTTATCAAATGCTAGAACCAAAATAAAAAGACTGAAAAGGAAACAAGGAAAATAAAACGCATCTAAAAATGCAGAATCCCAAATGCGACCTTTGTAAAGTGAATGAGTGGCCCATGAGTATACGCATAAATTTGCAAAGAAGAAACCAAGGAAAAACCAAGTCCACAGTAAGCACTCTTATACCCGTTGAAGCGCCACAGTCACATCTCTAATAAAAGAATCTTCCCCCATGAATGGTTTGACCTTGACGACCGACGCACCAGAACTCTTGCCCTTTTCCCATCCCTCGTTCCTAGCCAAATCTCTGACTCTTGCAGGCATCATTTTCCTTGGCCCAACAACAGACGCTGTGGTTTTGGCTGTTGCATTACTTTGCACTCCGCTACCTTGCCACAAGGTTGAAGCTCTACTAGCACCCGTACGATACCCACTATCAAAGTGACTTCTGATCTCAGGGGACATCAAAGTCGTAGCTGTCAGCGAAGGAACCATCAAACTCGAAGTTTGCGTAGAAGATAGCTGCGGACGTGCGGGTGGAGTCGAAGACCCTACACCTGCTGTGCCCCAAACATTAGATGGAATAGGCATACTAGGCATGTGTGGACGCATTTCTGGTCGCTTAGGTATCGAAGATGCCTTCGAGAGGTCATAACGAGCTTTACCTATCCAAAGCATCTGTTCGTGTTCCCGGAGGTAGCGTTCTCCACCAAAAGACTTCTGTACGATTTCCCTGCTTCGCATTCCCAGGGCTCTTCTTTGTTGGGTTTTAGCATACATGCGTGCTGTGATTGCTGCTACTTCTGAAGGTGTGGGTTTATCAGTTATCGTTGGAGCTGTGAAGTCCGAGGGGTCTTCTGCATAGGGCGCCCATTCATCTAGGAGGGCTAGGAAATTAATTTGTGCACGGGCTAGGTTACGGGCGTCGTTTGGGGCAACAACTGCGCTGTATCTTGCTCCGGTATCTGGATCGGTAAGAACCCGAAGGGAGGCGCCTACATCTGTGCAGACTACTGGGGCACCTGTAAGTGCCGCTTCGCCAAGTGCGAGGGGAAGGCCTTCTGAAATAGAGGAGTTGAGAAAGACCCATGTTTTCTCGAGGACTGTGGTTGGATTCGCTTCACCGCACATATTGACGAATCGAGGAAGTGATTTGGAGGCTATGATTTCAAAGCAGTCCGTCGAATAGGAAGGGGATTTGTCGATAGCTCCGTATATGTCGAGGCGATAATCGGTGAAACCCCACTCATTGACGATGATATCAGCTGCTAGAATGGCAGTTTTAATATCCTTTGCATACCACACATGGGAGAGCATCGTAACAGTTGGCAGTTTGGACTTGAGATCCCCTTTTATTGGAGCGAAATGAGACATGTCAGGAATACCGTTCACCACTGGATCAATCTTCCTCTTGAAAGTGTTGCGGTGCTCGAGCTGGCCTTGACTAGTACCAATTTCAGTTTCCCATCCGGGATTGAAAAAGTCGGCGCAAGGAAGAATTGTGTCTGCATGATGCAGAATCAATTGACTAGTAATTCGCATAAGACCGAGTAACGCATTCCGCACAAATGGTGCCATGGTACAAAGGTCAGAGGAAAGATAGAGGTTCGTCTCTCGCCAACTAATTGCGTGATCCCAGATTTGGAGCGTCGATCCACGCCTGAGCTTGCAAACGATCCCATAGGAGGCACTAACGCTGTGATGCGAAGCCTGGAATATCGCAGGTATACGTTCAGGAATCGGTATCGAGAATATGAACAAGTAGCGATACCAGAGATCGAGGGCAGCGTCAAGTTGAGCCACGGTCGGAAATTCTGTTTGGAACCAAGACTCCGAAGGCGTTGGACTGACTAGAGTTTGACTGATCCATAGATTCCGCCAGGCTTTCTTCACGATATCACTTGTCCATATCGCTCCCCAGTGCTTAGAGTCTGAGAAGTAGGAATTCAGATTCACCAAAGCACGAGTGGTTTGCGCAATATCGCTCATGGTAAAATTGGAGGTCCTGGCGCCTTTAACCAAGGCATTGAGAATTGGGAGGAAATTGCGTTCAACATCTAGTTTTGTTGCATCTCTGGGAACGTGTTCAACTTCTGTGTCAAGTTTATCCTTGAACAGCCCATGGGTAGGGGTAAGAAAGTCCAAACCCCAGAGTGGAATTACTTTGAGACTACGCACATTCATCTCCGTCTAATATGTCAGTATAATCATATAGACTAGAGAATTTAGATTTTACCTGATGCTTCGGAAGACCGGAGTCATTGGCAGACTCAGCAACCATATGCCAACTGACAGAACGAAGGTTGTTAATCATGTCCCTACGGCAAGCCGATACTCCGCCGCCTTCATTTGGCCAAGTTCCTGAGTCCACTGCGAGAACTTGCAAGCCACCATTGTCGAAATCCGGAGCTTTTGATCTTGTTCGACTATTCGCATCGCCACCCTGTCCAAAGCTGTATAGATCGGCAATCTTTATTGCCAGAGGTGCCCACCCAGAGATGGAATTGTCCACATCAACGGTTGCCATAATACCATCTGCGTTTTCATTAAGAAACTTTTCCGCACCAGCAAGGTCACCTCGGTCACGTCTACTCCAGTAAGTTCGTAGCAAGGGTTCTCCTCTCAATAATCTCTCGTCAAGATATCTCACCATAACACCATCGAATCCCGGTTTGTTTTTCCACGCACTCCAAAGCCTTGAGCGCGCACGTGATGTGGATACTGGATTGCGATGAGTATTTAGACCTAACCATCGGGGCAGCGCATGCGAATTGAGACTCTTGAAACCGACAAGCTGATCATCGTAAGAGAAACTGGAATTGACAGGTTTTTTCAACACTCCCAGGTGATCCCATTGGATAATAGGAGGTGTCTCTATGACTGCACCATTCAATGTGGTGTGAATTGTGGGATGAAACTTATGGTCGTAACTCCAGTGCGACTCGTAAACATCAGAACCAAGTACAAAGGTAGCCTCAGTAACTTGAGAGTGTGGTATCCACTTGTCTAGCTTTTCTTGATGGGTGGCTGGTGGTGCAGACCACGACACTGTACAAGTGAGATGGGGCAGAACGAACTCGGCTCTCAAAAGCTCGTCCTCGAAGTCGCTCCCTTGGCGGTGATGGCTTTTAAATCGCACTAAGCTCCCATGAAGGATGTATGATCCGCTCTCTATAAGACCTCTGGAGTTGAAGTTAACCTCTTCGAACTCATCCTTTCCTTCCACACACTTCCTCGATATCGGGTATCGGATATTAGGCGCCTTGAAAAGAGATTTTCTTTGTGGCAGTATGTTGGTATCTTGGTACTCATACCGATACACATTACCTTTGATGCCATTAGAGTATTCGTATCTTCGAAGCAAGAGTTTAGACTTGCTGTAGGTACTAATTCTCTGCAGCTTGGTATTATCTTCAGGCTCTCGATCTAACTTCCCTGCGTATTGGTGAACTTTGAATGTACCGGCTCTACCATAAGGCGCGTGAATAAAAGCAGTAGACAGTCCATCTGTATGTTCAATAGCAATTCTGTATCGCTTGAGAGATACAGTAGTACCACCGATGCGATCCCACAGGGTGCTGACGTTCTTGCGACCATAAAAGAGGAAAACCGGCAACACCAAATCTTGAAGAAACTTCGTGTACCTCCACACCCCGGTGGCAAGAAACATATTGACACGTCGAAGGATTTTATTGCTTGAATGAAAGGCGTAAGTGAGTTCGCGTTGAAATTCAGGCTCAGCCACAAATGCAATGGCGACAATTTTGAGAAAGATTCCTGCATTGTGGTATACGTAGCTGAAAGGACCTTTCCAACGGCGAAGAGCTTCCCTCGGCGTTCGCTTGGAAACATTTGGCAGGACTCGCAAGAACTTGAGTGATTCAATGGAGTCTTGGTGGCATAAGTCTTCGACTCCGTTGTTTTCTCTCTCGCCCAGTGAATAACCTCGACAAGCCAGAGCAACAAAAGCGCCATAGTTGCAACGCGTTAGGAATAGTCCCATAGAGACGTCCCGAGCACGGTTGAATACCACCCACTCGTGTTGAGACCGGGTCAATGCTACTTCTGACCCAGTACATCTGAGAATAATCAACTCTCGGATATCACGTCGAAGTCGGTCCCACTTTATATCAACGTCAACCCCAAGTGCCAGATGTTTCAAGCTTTGGCTTTCAAGAAAACGGGACAGCTCTTGAGCCTTCTCTGAAGAAGGTTTTGACCGACTTAGGTAGTCTTTAACACAACTAGGGATCGGAGATGATTGTTGTGTACGCCCAGAGAACGGGGATGCTGCAAGTAGTGTCTCTGCAAGACATGCATCTTCATGGCCCATGCCCATGAGACTCTCTGCTATCGTGTGGATCAAAATCTCGGCCGTACTACAAATATCTAGATTTAGCGAAGCAGAGAAAACTGGAGTGAAGAAGCCCACCTCTGGCAGAAGCTACTGATGGTATTTTGATCTTTTTGTTCGTCCATCATCCCACAACCAACAAGTATATGGACTTGTCCATCCAAGAAATGACTAACAGCCCTCACGTTATCAAATGCATTATTCATTGATGCTACGCTAACACAATCAATGATTACTGTCCCACGCTCGAAAGCGAAAGTTGCAAGTTCCAAGATGTCTTTTGCTTGGGGGAATGCGTCAAGTGCGAATTTTGATAGTGTCGTTCGTGGCTCTCGATAATTTCCAAGAGCGTGCAAAAGTTTAGCCTTGATTTCAAGACCAGGGTGATTTTGAGGATCGACCCGGTAACGCTCTTCGTCACGCATTACTCGGAGGTTATGGAAGACGACTCGGAGCTCATCCTGAGACAACAAAGGATCTTTTCCGGGGCTGGAAAAAGCATGATAGTCACCATCAGGTGCCAAATTGCTGTATCCGGAGTCTGATGAAGAGTCAGAGTTCTTGTATATAGATGTCATCTTTATCCGTGCATAATATAACGAAAGTAGCGCTGCAGTCCAAGTAGCAGTACCTAAAGTTACCGTGTCACAATACATGAAATCTGGGTAGTATGCCCTGAGGATTTGTCCCAGTGGAAGGCCAATGACGACAGCAACAAGCAACGGCTTGAAACTCCGTGCGCCAGCGAATATCTTAGTATACTATAAGTACAGTCAGTTTGGGTCTATGGTGTCTCATTCTTAATTTCACCTGGTACCATAGAAGGCCTATAGAGACTTAGTTTTCAAGAGAACTTTTCTTCAAAGGGTAGTACATACCCGTGTAAGCAGCGACATAGGATATGAAAAGTATGGTGGAGTCTTTTGTACTATCGAATACCCAAAGAAGGGTGGAAGCAAGTGCCAGACTCCAGACATGGAAGAATAAATAGCGGCCAAGCATTGTCCAGTAAAGAGATCGCCTCGCTCGAACTTCTCTCTTGACTGCTTGTGGTATTGATTTCACTTCTCCAATGAGCATGTTCTGGCCTTTGGCAGACATGGTATGAAGCTTGGCAGCATTGAAATCAAGGAGCACTGCTCCAATTAGATAATAGGCGAGAGAGAACCCAACTGGCATGCGGTACTTTGTGTTCATGGCGGCGAGACCCAGAGATTGTCCACCGTCGAGAATAGATGACCATTTGTCGAGAAGCGCCACGATAAAGTATAGCAGACTGCATCCAACCTCGTCGCCAGCTTGGCGCCAGTGTATGAAGGCGTTATGAAGTCGAATACCCGTCTCTGAAAAAACATCTCGGAGTTAGCATATATTTAGAGTTAGGGGACAGATTCAGGATGATTATAAGGCCATTTGGGTTGAAAATAGTCTCCAAACCCCCAGAACACAGCCTAATTGGGAAGAAAGAATTAGGGAAACACCTACGGAGTTGCTTAAGTGTCTGCAAGGCTACTTTCGTCTGCATATTCCAAGTCGAAGAATATGGCATAGGGAGAGGTGTCCCCGAATACCCACTATACCATTCGAGTAAGAAGACAGTTGCGTCGTAGCTTTTAGCAAGCGAAGACACTAGAGGGTCGCCAGACTTCTGTCGAAAGCGCGTCCGAGTATCTGTGACTTCCCTTATCATCGCAGCTCTAGCCAGTTTTAGCACTGCGGGATCTGTCATCCCCGCCAATGACTTCTCGTCGCCATCTTCCTGGGTCTCAATATACCATTCTCGCAAGCGTTTATCGGTAAGCTTTTCAATATCCAAGTACCAAGTTGTCCACTTAGAGCCAGTATAACGTACACCGAGCACTAACAAGATTAGAAAGGTATATATCACGGATAAATATATGTAGATCTCCTTTTCTTCGACCCACACACAGATTATGGGTGAAATAAAAAGGCAAGGAACGACCATTATTATCACTGGGCGTCCCTAAGAAGACAAGCTATCAGTTTCATATCTGAATTGAGAATATGATAACTCACTGATTGAAATGCGGAACCAGGGTATTGGAAATTCGCTAGTGTCGCCAGTAAACAAAGATAGGAAGTGAGAGCTATTAGATAAAGAAAGAATATAATCCCCGCTTCAATGCCATTGATGGCACCAACGGCAACAAAACCAATAACGGCAACTGCCAAGGTAAACGCTAGCCCGCCAACTAATCTAGTTAGAACAAACATATTCATTGCTGAAAATGCCATCGATATAAGATAGTAGGATCCACCGCATGTGATCCAGGTACCCACTGATCCTGAAATGAGAAGGGATATCATCAATGCGAGCGTCGCTGAATACTGTTCATCGTCGCTCATATATCCGCTAAGATATAATCCTCTACCAGTTGTGGTTAAAAGAACAATATCAAGGAGAGCTGGTATGGCAAAGACGCTCAAAAATGTGAACCTCTGGTGAACCGCCATACCCTTTCTCTTTGAATTGGGATCCACGTCAATCTTGGCTGCAGCATATGCTGATGGTGTCGTTGGATCCAAATCCGACCAAATCGGTGGTTCGTGACCGGGTTGGTGATGGTATGCTCGATATCGATCAGAGAGTAGTTTTCCAAAGGCACTTGGAGTGGTGTCAAAATATGCCTCACATCGAGCCCCAGTTGCAAACAGCTCCGCAAAGGCAGCCGCCTGGTCACTCTGATCATTGAAAAGTGTATTTCTATCCGTGACTTCCATATATGCTTCGTCAAAAGCGTGTTTTCTCATTGCGCAGAAAACGGAAAACGCTATAAGGTCCACACGTGAATCGATTTCCTTATTTTCGAGAGCAGCAGTTAACTCCTCAGTGATGTTTTGGAGATCATGGATCCGCCTTTCTCTCAGTAGCTCAGTGACAGAAGCATCAATTTGAAGAAAATTGTTGCGTGCTAATTCCTGGCTTGAGTGTTGGCACCCAGCTCGTCGATACCATTGAAACCGGGATTCAATCAAGTCATCCGCCGTAGCTCGACCACTGAGGTACCCAATAGTACTTATTTCTTTCAGCTGCGCAAAGTCAGTTGAGCCTAGCAGTTGAACTTCGCAAGCCCGACGAAGCAGGTTGGTCAGGGAGTCATCATCCAATACGGGAGACAAGGTGAGTCGTTGAAGAAACCTGAGAAGTTCGGCGGGCGACAGAAGAGTAAGGTCATTCAAAATCCTCGGTGATAGCCCAGAAGGTCTCAAGAGACTTTTGGACCACCCCGATAACAAAATCTCGGCCTGGAAGCACTCGTGTCTGGGGTAGCCTTGACTAGATAGAAACGTGTGCAAAATGGCACCAGCAAGGTCAGGTACGTTTCTAGATAGAAATAAGTTGAGAACAAGGTCTTCATCGGTCGAGTACACCCCCCAGAAGTGGAAATCGGGTTGAATGCGGAAACCTTGATCAAGGCCAATATATGCCTTGATCGAGTCTGGTGCTCCGGGTTGGATTTTGGTAAGTCTGTGAGCAAGATCTTGCACGGCTGCCGTCCAATCGGACGGTCCTCCCTCCTTCTGTTCATAGAGAGTCTCGCAGAAATTATTTAGTTGATTACCAATTTGTTGCATCTTCGGCTGTTGTATTTCATCCAAGAGACTCATGTCGGCAAATCGCCGCTGGTTATGAATCACGTCAACAAATGCTTTCTTTGTCACATCGAACCCAAGGGGAAAGCACCCCAGATAATCAAAGGATGGCCCTTTTGAAGAAGTAGATATCACATTCCCCGTCTTATTATCAGCGAAGAAAAGCCAACTCAATGAGCTACTGGGGACGGGGAAAGCCTCTGTGGAGGTTGTAGGAGACGAAGTTCTGCTAGAAGACTTGGTTCTCGTGACATCGGAGGACCAACCATGAACAGGAGGGTTGCCAGAACTCTCCGCAGAACCGAAGCTTGAGCGCTCAGTATCGACCGAGGACGACGACGGTTCTTGCTCTTGTACTGTAGGTATAGAAAGGATATGACGAAGGCGATCAACATGCTCGGAAGTCTCCGAAATATACTGTAGAGCAATCTGGTTGAATTCGTTAGATTTAAGACGAATCCACTAGGGCGAGAATATCAAACATACCAATTGGTTTGATCGCCATTTGTCATGAATCTTCATGACCTTGAGCTCCTTCAGCCAGTCAAATGCCCCTAAAGGCTCCGTCTGATGAATTGAGAGCTCCGCAGAAGTGAGAGCGGCTGCGGAACCGATCCATGGCAAAGCACTATAGAACCTTGACCACTGATAGCATCTTTTGACAATAGCGTTAGAAGGTATCACATTATCGTCGATAGTTTCCCACAGCATGACTACGAAACTACGAAGACAAGCTTGGGAAACAAATGCCTTGATCGTAGGCCGCATTTGTGCCATTTGGAATGCATCTCGTTCTTCGCCGAATTTGGAGATTGTCCCATTGCGAATGACCAGGCCTCGGATCTCGTCTAGTTCTGCAATTCCTGGATCGGAGAGGAACAGAGGGGCAGAAACCTCGAGATATACAGAGAGCCCAAGCGAGTGTAATAGATAAATGAAATGTGTTATAAGAGGGATACTCAAGTATTCATCCCAATTGGCAATGAGAACGCCAGTGACAATATTCCGATGACTTGAAGCGACCTTGCAAGCCTCCATCAATCGAATGAGCCACACTGTAACAGAGACAATCGTGTTTTCTGGTCCCCCAATGGCCATTGACTCGACATCAATCCGAGCAAGCGCTTGTGGTGGTATTGCATATAGGCGTGATAGCATGGCTTCAACGATGCCCGGCTGCAGCGGATCAAAAACAAGAAGGTCCCAATGTGACAACAGCTTTTCTTGAGCCTCAGTCGGCGGGCATTCGAAGGCCCCGAGATATATTCCATAGCTGCACGGCTTCTTTTCCGTCGTTTCAATTTTGCAGTGAGAGAGGTTTTGGGCAGCGTGTGATATATACGTTCTAACCGAAGCGGGGGCTTTCTTGGAAATCGTTCTGTGTTGCTACGCCGAGGATGTCAGCAATTGAGTAAAAAAGGGAAATTTCTCGAGGGGGTTTCCGTTTCATAAATAAGCAAACGTTCTTGCAGGGGGGGATACTTACAATCCATATTCTTTGAAGTCTGGAAAAAAGATTAAACGAGATAAAACACACTCCTAAGCCTACGGAAACTAGGATAAATGCAATGAGAACCTAACCTCTGTCAGAGCTAGGGATCTTTTTTGATCTGTAGGTAGGAACTTACAAACTGGAACCAATCTATGAAAAGATCGTGGGAATCGCCAGAAGCAACACCAGTAATTACAGCCATTGGGACGCACAATTCAATCCAAAGGAACACAAAAAATAAGTGGCATCATATAAGAGACAAAGTACAGAAAATATGGTAGGCTGCAACTTTCGCAAGGCAGGATTGCCGTGCCGAGCTTAATAAAGGTCGGTGTAGGGTGCTATGGGTGATGACGATTCCACGTGGATGGAAAAATCGAGGCATGGACCTGGAAAGGCTCAAGAGATCCATGACCATAGAAAAAAGAGAGGCTTTGGTACAAAGGGCATTACTCTGATCACATCCGCTCAAGCGAAGCTAGGTACGTATTTGGGCTCGGGCAAGAAACCCAGTTGAAGGAAGAGCATTGAGAACGTAAGACCCATGAGACTTCTGAAGACTTCAGAATCGGGTCGCCTTCCAAGTCATTGCCCATTAAGGGAAGGATTTGCAAATAGATTGAAAGGCTGAATCAATGAAAGTACGGGGAAAAAGTATTCTAGAACGGTGATGGAAGACGGGCACACGTGGACTCCGAATTCATCTCTGCAGACAATATAAAAGACTCGACGTGTTGTGTTCGGGAAAGGATTTGCAAACAGAAGATCTCAAACATGCAACCGCAACGGGATTATTGGAATTGCATTTATACGAGGGTAGTCGAGATGCGATGGGGTGCTTTCACTGCCGTCTCCACTAATCGCTGAGTCGACTGACCTGAAGGAGATGCAAGCAGAAAGCAGAGAGGCCAAGGGCAAAAGCGGTAAGGACAGTGGGAAGTTCCAACAAGGACATGGTGAAAGTAAACCGTAGAGGTGGTTCGAGCGAGGGTAGGCAAGGTAGGGAAGCAGGATGGTGGAACTGCAGGCGGAGTATCGTTTATTAGATACGTAGAGCATATCTGCATATGCACAGAAGCTTGCTTGCCCGGCTCGTGGGTGTGGGCTGAAAAGGTATGTATCGTAGGAAATTTAGTCTAGTCTATTTGTCTAGTCTAGTCGATTTTCAGATGCAGGAAGAAGCAACGAGGTTGGTGTTTTGGATAGAGTTGCGGGAGGTGAGGTGATGTACGGAATACGGTCATGGATTTGATATTGGCATGGCGTAAGAGCGGCGAAAGTCCCGGGCCGGGTTTACAGTAGCTTGTGGTAGCGGGCGCTTGCGGCCTCAATTGCAAGGCCTGATAAAAGGCCAAAATCAACCTCGTTCGCTTGGGAAGTCTTCTGTTGTTCCTCCTCTTCCAACTCTTGTCCAAATCATTCCATCACTGTCTCGTCGATGGCGTCAATAGAGATCTTGATTGCAGGTATCACGACCTCTACTTTACCCTCAAACAAAACTGCCGTTTCCATTATTATCCCACGCCAGCGTGTTGCGCAGCTAGGAAGGTAGAACACATGTCCGGCCCAATTCAGCCAATATGATCCCAACCGACCCGGATCTACCACGATTTTCAAGTTCACGAGCTGGATCCTGCCAGGAATTGCAATTATCTATGGCAATATCGGGACTAGTCAGAGATTTACTGTCAAGAACGACTTCCGAAATCGCGAGCTGCAAGTGCATGCTGGCTATCCCAGGATGCCCTCGCTTGCACCAATGAGTGACGATTCATCCATGATGACCCATGGCGGTTATCAGGAATCATTACCATCACCGCCGCAATGCAGAAGAAAGCTGCTCGTTCTCCGATATATCGAACGTGTCTCTAAAGAAATCGCTGGAAGTACCCATGGGTATGACTTGAGAAAGCCCTCGGGTACTTCATCCCCTATTGCCGAACGCCAACCAAGTTATGTGGCCCGTTCTTCTACCTTTCCATATGCTCTGTTCGTTCACCCCGCAATTCCCCAGATCTGCACCTCATATTAGCAGCTCCTTTTATTATTGCGGGGAGAGATCTATTAGGGATTTGCTCTAGTATATGCGCATAATATACATGGGCATAAATCAAGTCACGTTAAGTTTCGGACTCCAGATGCCGAATAAAATTTTGATTGCCCTTTTTTCCCAACTCTTTTGTGATGTTCACGCGCCGAATACAAATATCTTGCAAGGCATTGGTCTCATCAACTCACCAGTAATAAAAGATTGTTTACTTATATATACAGTGGTCCGTTCTTGCTAGCTGCCAAAACATGTTCCCTGTACCCACGAATGAACAGCCGAACTCAAAACTGACCTCAGGAGAAAAATGTTAGCATTGCAATTGAGAGCCTATTTGGCACTGACGTTTGCGATTTGCTTGTCGTTTGTCCACGGATGTTACGATCACCGACTAAATCCTCGACGTTCAGCAGACGAGGATCCCATTAACAATGACCAGTCTATAGTCCCGAAGCACACAATTTTGGCACCTCTGGTTGATCTTGATGTTGGACCCATCACAGTTAGTGTGAACACCTCTTCTGCAGTCACTGCATCGCAAGAATTTGCGCCGCCTTCGCCATTTGCCGCCGCATCAGTTAGCAGCACAGTCTTGGTAATTGCTCGGGATAAATCTTCGGCTTATTCTGCATATTCAGGACTGAATGATCTCGGCATACCCTACTCGGTGTTGCTGGTCCCAGCCAACGGAGCCTCCCTGCCTAAACTTAATGACTCGGTCACACAAGGTAACTTTGGTCTTATTGTAGTTCAATCAGAAGTCAGTTACCTTAACACCAAGACGGGAGAATACACCAGTGCTCTCACGGACCAACAATGGGCATCCATCTACGCTTATCAAGTTTCATTTGGTGTCCGTCTAGTACGATTGGATGTTACTCCATCGGCATCTACTGGAACGGTATCTATAGGCGGTTGCTGCTCAAAAGGAGACCAACAAGTATCTATCTCCAATGATACTGGATTTACTACCGCAGGGCTCAAAATGTACGTTTTCGACATATGGTTACTCACTGCAATATACCAATAATACTTCTAGCGCAGCGGGTGTCACGACGACTGGCCTATGGCATTATTTGGCGAACATAACCGATAGTTCAATCGCAACAGAGTTTGCACAATTTTCCACTGCAACTGCAGATGGCTTCAAGACCAAATCAACGGCCGGCGTGATCAATAGGACTAAAGGCAGGGAGCAGGTGGATTTCGCGCTTTTCTCGTTTCGTTCAAAAGCTTACTTTAAACTAGATGGTTTTCTTCATTGGTTTCTCTACTGATTGGAGTGTAACCTCAAACTTTCTGCAACATGCTTGGATTCATTGGGGTACTAGGGGACTATGTTGGTAGCATTATCTCAAAGCTTCAATCCAAATATGCTAAAATCAAGCAGATTCTGGTTATCGCAGAGCCATGATGACTCCTCAAGGTACGTTGACTCGATCCAAGTTTGGTATACCCGAATTTCAGCTGATGTATGATAGTTGATGACATGTTCCTGTAAGAACACGATTCCCACTTACAATCATGGTGCTAACGTGGTAGTGAAACTCCTCTCTTTGATGCACCTACTACAAATTTTAGACTTCTTCCTGAAGACTTGGATATGCACGTTCAGTGGATGGATTCTGTAAGGTCTACGCTCAATTCTGGAAGCGACTGGTTCATTGAAATTGGGCATAATGGAAATGGAAATATTGAGGTTAGTCAGTTCAAACTTGCAGGCTTATTATCAACTAAGAAAATTATGAAAAAAGGATTCTGAGAAGAGGAGGGAAGCTGCTTCTTGTAGACCAGGACCAAGTAGGTGATTCTTTGGACGTCTTTCAAAACTCAGCCACGTGATTTCGCCTGCTAAATGCAAACAGTTGAATACGCCGACCAAGTAGATACTCCAATTGAATTTGTTAAGCCTCTTGGTAGCGGTACGGACTTATGGCCGGCGACTCTGACCGAATATCCAAAGTATTCAACGTCATGCACTGGCAACGATGAATTGTTGAATTGGTTCCAAGATTCTTCAAACCTCAATGCTTTCGCACATGTTTCTCATACCTTTACTCATGAAGATCTAAATAATGCTACATACGCAGATACCTACAAAGAAATCACATGGAACACTGCATGGATGAAGGATGTGGGTATCTCAAAGGCAAAAAGGTTTAGTCCTATTGGCTTGATCCCCCCGGCTATCACTGGAATGCACAATGGCGATGCGATCAAGGGTTGGGTTGATGCCGGTATCAAGAATGTTGTTGGAGATAATACCCGCTCAATACTTTTGAACCAGGCACGTTCACATATCTCATTACTCTTTACTCACATGCTTACGTCTACTTTCAGCAAAATGAGCATTGGCCACTCTTCTCAACAGTTGCAACAAATGGCTACGAAGGTGTGCAAATTACCCCGCGATGGGCGTCCAATATCTACTACAATGTTTGTTTAAGTGATCTCATGAGAAGTGACTCTATTGCTGATTCAGTTCGTAGTGCGATTTGCCAGATTGCACTACTGCAGAATGGAAACAATACTCTGCTGGGAATGGAACCTTCACAGATCTTTTGGCTCTAGAGCAAAGCGTCAACGTGCGCCATTTATTGGGACTACATCACGATGCTTTTATGTTTCGTCAGTATTTATTTTCTTTGTTGACGGATTATAATCCATTATCTTTGAAGCCTGAGTACTGACCAGGTGTAGACCAAGCAAATATGAGGGTTAGTGACGTTGATGACATTACTATTAATGGGGTTCGGGGTCAATATTCTCTTCTCGTGGCATGGGTAGAAACGGTGGTCCCGGAATTTGTTCGCTTGTAAGTTATATATTCCTCGCTACTTCCCGACATACTAATATCCCATAGAGTCAAATGGCCTCTGGTATCAAAGAAACATGACGACGTAAGTCTATTCCGACATTTAAAACTACTTCTGTGCTAAATCTTTCGATAGCTTGCTGCATCATTTCTCTCTCGAATGAATCGAGACGCTTGCAAACCAAACATAAGTTGGATAATCGATAACAGCAGACAAACCATTACAGGAGCAACAGTATCCGCTGGCAACATGTCCTGCCCTGAAAAGCTGCCCTTCACATTCCCTACAGCCGTCACCGATACTCAAGGAGCAACGAAAGAACAGCTTGGCTCCGACCCGCTAACGCTTTGGGTCGTCTTGTCCGGCAAACCGATAACTTTTACCTTTACAACCCCAATTCCGATCTACGGGTAAAGACACACTCTACTGAAGGAGAAAGAGTTAGCATGACAGACGTCTTACTTTGCGTATCATCCATTTCCCTGCTTCTATCTATAGATATTGCATGGCATATTTGGTGACGATCCCTGCTAGAGAATTACAAGAATGATTATTCTCCTTGTTGCATAATAATAAATGGAAACGGCCTTGTACATATTGTCCAAAATTACAAAACCCTCTTTGAGAATGCCTGCATACTTTCAATATGAAACTCATCCATATCCAGCTTCTTCAATAAACCGTTGACTTCCCCATAGGAAATCAGCTTTTCCTACCGGACGCAAATCAGAAGAAAAACGGTGTGGATACATACCATGTCTAGCTGAGAGATCTTGTACTCAGGCATGCACCACGCCTCAGCCTCCAAAAATAAAAACAAAACAAAAAAAGATCTACATCCCCATCGCCTGTTTCGCGGCTAATATCTTGGGCCACAGCAGGGCCAACCAAACCCGTACCAACCAGTAAATACTATTACGTGTTTTTAGATTACAATCCCATTTCCTAATCCGTGTGTATACGACTTGCGACGAACCAGTCGCTTTCTGGTTTGTCGCTGGTGGTCACGATCGTCGTCGTCGACCTTTCCTGTCCTTGTTTTTATTTTTTTTGTTTAGGAAGAAAGAGGGCTGACCCATTACAGTAACTGACCACCTTTTTAAAATGCCATGCTAATATGGGGAGCACAAACTTTCCCATGTTCGGATCGAATCTCCCCTTCTCCACACACATTTCCTCATACTCGTACACACCCACGTTTCCCCGCACGTTGGAGGATCAGCAGCCAAGAAAATAATGTTCCTGAGCGGCGTCGGGAGTACAGTACAAAGTGTTTGGGGTCTGAAATCATACCCTAGCCGAAATCAACCTTGTCAATATCGTATGGTCGCCGTCGGGAAAACACACGGGCAGCATACTATGGTATACCTACCTCTCCTACTTTTTTCCTTCTCCTTCCCCGTGTTCTCCTTCCAAGTCATACACATCAAGCAACATCTCCCTTTTCTTCATTCAGCCTGATCCCCTCATTTTCTCCTCACTACTACGTCCATGAATATTTCCTCTCATGGTCATCGTGGTACATCGGAGACATCTAGATCCCCAACCAGTAGAATACTCATAAAATTACACGATACATGCACAGATGGGCAACTGCAAAGGAACACAGGTATGTCCGGCCAGCGTTACTTTCGTTCCTTGCTCCTAGTCCCCCGGACTCGGGTCGGGACATCCGGATGGGGGAGGTGGTGTGAGATTTCGGGTGGTACAAGTATTTGTTGGATTTAGTGATGTTGAAATCCTTGGTGGTGATCTATGAGATGATGGTGGTGATGGGGAAGAGGAGAGGAGGGATCTGTGACAGGGATGGTACTGTGTGGGTGCTCAACGAGACTTGCTTACGTTTCCATTCACATCAGGTCATTAGAGATTAGAGGAGGACAGTTCGTGTTGTGGTTTCTCAACGGTGTCATCACGAAATACGAGTCCTGAAATTAGACCTTGGAACTGGGTGATATGGCGTCGCAACTCATTGAACTTACCATGGGATTTCTCTCCGTGGTAAGTGGTACAGGCATACAATCGGCTCAATATGTCTACCAACAGACAGGCTCTTGAAGAGTTCGGAGAAGATTCCTGAACACTGCCTGGCTTATTCAGCCTTGAGGGTACCATCCTACCTGATAAAGCCTGTCCAGTACACATGTAAGTATGTTCATTACGGATGAGCCATTATCCTAAACTCCAAAATCATCTGATCTTGAGATAGACTCTTACCATATTGTGTTCTGCCATTGTCATCTTATTTAACAAAGAAAAGAGACAGAAGAAAAGAATAGCGTGTCTAAAGGCACATAATACTAAGATCTGATGCCCTGGTAATGTGGCAAGGAAGTTAGTATATGATGCATCAGTCATGTAGTGTAAAGTACCCAACCTCCTTACTACCTTTCCATCGACTGTCAACAAGCCCCAACAAGGCGAAAGACCCGCATTGATCAAAGCAAGAAGAGAAAAAGAAGCAGAACTTACGCGTCCCCTTTCCTCCGAGACCATTAGCATGGGCAGCCAAACTCCACATCCCGAGCCCTGTCAAAAAAAAAGAAGGGGGTGTTCAGCCTCATGGAAAGATAAACGGGGATCTCATTCTATGACCAGGTATCAACGTATCCAGTATATCTATGTGTCAAACACTCAACATCTCACCACCCATAACCCCCACGATTGAACCCTCAGATTAAAGGAAAATTCAAGCCCTCATCACGTTCATTTTCTATTGGCACATGAAGAAATCATTTCACCTTGAAAACCCCCCAAATATCACACAATCCTAAAACAACTTCATGACCAGGAGCACCAGCAATCACGACATTCGCAATTTTCTCCAATACTGTAACTACGGCACGGCAGTCATCATTACAGACAAGCTCACACGCATCAATGTCGTCCGGAGGCATCTTTCCGCATGCTCACCCCGTTGCAGAGGAAGCACCGAAACGAAAGAGGTTCAGCAATCGCTGTAAGTACCTCACCATTACTTCGATTGCAGTGGTTGGAGGGGTGGTCGTGGGTGTTGCTCTCTGGGCCCATGCAAATCGGAATATGCCTCATCCAATTGAGAAGAGGGTGGTATGATGGAGGTTGTCGAGAATTCTGAGGGTACACATTGTACGAAATTTGATTAGCGAGATACGTTCTCCTGGACAAGGAGGATGGCCATCAGCATTGAGTCCATGTGGTCCGACGAAGTCGAAACGCTCTTGCTGTTCCTGATGCAACTTTTTGTTGAACAACATTCCATCAAAGGGAAGCAAAATTCGCCTTTATCATCTTTTGGGGAAACCAGAAGTCTCGGCATTGGTTCATCATACACCTATACGCGGTGCCCAACCTCGGCATCGATACTCGAAAGTCCGTTGTCTCTTTGCTTCTAGAAGCTGTTTACCATTAATAGCTTGAGAATACACACCGATCTCGGATCCAAATCATCATTTGCCGAGGAAATAATACCCTAGATTAGGCAGCTTTAAGATGACAACAATAAACAAGAATAATCGGAGCCTGATACTTTGACACAGGGGTGCAAGAATTAAGCGAGACCCTAGAAATTTCAGTCTTTTGCATGGGGTTTTTCTGGCAGCGAGAGTTGTGGTGACAATACTGCCATTGAAGTCAAGCTTTCAAGTAGTCAATCTGATAGTATACCTCAATGAACAGTTTCTATAGAGCGCCATCCGCAATTAGTAGACGTATCCTCAAGTAGCCAAATGCCTGTTCAAGGAATGGTTCCGAGCGCCATCACAAGCCATATTTCTCCAACAGCTCCAGATCTGACCCCCCGAATCAAATGGCTGCAAATGATTGGGGGCCCAGCCATACCGTTGTTCAAGTAGTGGGTTACCATTTTTGCTGATGTTTGGATTCAGCCTATTTGAGTGTTGCATACAGGCTGCATCTCGCTTATACCTAGAAAGGGCGTCCATGGAAACGCCATGGTGGTACAAATCGACTTACAGTAGTCAAATGCACAACATGTCTGAGAAACGCACTTCGTGTGCTCAAATCTGACTCAATGGCGATCTAAGGTTTGATGTGTTGATGCCACCTGACCATGGAACATTGGGCCAGGGGTTTCAACGAGGAACCTCCTCTCTGAACACACAACTAGGTCTCGACTGAGGGCTTTTAGATTCAAATTTTGGACTACAGGACTAAAACCTTGTGCTTTACATGCGCCAAGCTTCCTAACAATCGGGTATGCATATATGCTTGGGCGCATCATATGCAGATAATTTATCTCAAATCCTGGCATACGGATACGGTTTATGTGACAGGAGAACTTTTCCTGCGAGGAGAAAATCTCGAAGTATTAGCTTCCGCAAACTCTCTTATGCCATATTGCCCCACAGGCAACAGCAACCATGACCACATTGTCGGAAGCGCGCCGTGCGGTTTGGCGAAGAGCCAAGTCATCGATAGATTCCTGCATTGTGGGGTATTATCCATGTTAATTCCGTTGTTTAGAGCCACCGTATATTTCCTTCGCGAAGGCATGTCAGAATGGGACGCAGTCAAAAGTAGCCACCAAAGGAAACTGTTGCGTGAACATACTCCGATTGTAACATGGAAGCCGCATTTGATATACCGTTTCCTGGGACAGTTTTTGTAGTACCCTTTCCCCTTTTCTCTTTCGGCTAGTAGGGCCGCCAAATAGATTTGAGCTGAAGTCACATACATGTAGGATACCTTTTAGCGTACTATTTCAAGTCCTCAGAGTATCAAATATTGCCACCGCAACGCAATAGAAGTACCTCCCCCTGTTGAAGATGCAATTATGACGGTGATCAGCGTCTCGAAAGGGACATTACTTTAAAGAGCGAAAAATACAATTCGTTTTTTGCGAGGGCATGGTTGTATGTACCGATCAACAAATCAGTGTGTGATACTGTAACTGCCTTACACTCTGCGCATTAACCGCTCTGGTAAGCTACTTAGCTCCCAGTTCAGTTTTAGCCTCAATGAGACTAAATTGTCTAGAGCGATAGGTCCTCAGAACCAGAACCTCCACAGGTTCAACTCAAACATTTCTTCAACAGGCCAAAAGTGTTTTCAGTGCATCGAAGAATTCGACCAACTAGCCTATCGCTTGGATAAATATCGCGCAGTGATCTCGCCACACTATATTTCCCGCAAAATATCTGAAGTCGTCTTATTGCAAAGGCCGCACGGCATATGTTATATCGAGATTCTCAAGGCGGGGTGCGTCAGATTGAAGCTGCCGACGTCGGTGTGCTTGTGGAGAAATATTATCAAGCATGTTAAGAAGTAATAAGTCAATTTCAATATCATCCCATTCGGCAAACTATAACTGACGCCTGTGTTATCACTCTAAAGGAAGCACAATAGGGCGTGGTTTCCGGAAAGTAAACCTCTGTTTACTTCAATATGGGACACATGATCGACAGGAGCAAGTCAATATTTTGGGTCGTTTGGGGGGCCGCTTCGAACATCCAGGGCAAACTCGTGGTGGAAATAGCCAATAGCAAGCCGCCAAGACGACCGTTTGATCATAGAATCCACAGACTTGGGAGGAAAGAGATCAAGGGCGAGTCGCAAGTGCCTGATTGTTCTCGGATCGAGTGCTTTGCATGATGAAAATGGAAAGCTAGTCATGATGTTAGCACTCGCTGGGATAGAGTTAATACAATACCAATGTGTCATGGGAACAGGCGGAGAGAGATAGACCTTACTAGAATTGGTCTAATCTATTCTCCGAGATATTCCGCAGAACATTTGTAGCCGCAGCTCTCTTGAATATCATCAACAGACTAAATGAGGTCCTCCGTGGCCTTCCATTCTCGAAAGCGCTGATACAATGCGCGGCTTCATATGACAACAAACGAAGTCTAGGTTCAAGGGTCAACAAAGAATTTCCCAATAAATGAGCTTCCGAAGTAATATTTCTGAAAGAGGATGAATTGTATGGTGACGCCTATTACATGGTGTGATGGCGAGATACTATGAGCAGAGGCAAGGAGCTCCCCGGGCTGGACCGTAATGAGGAAAGAACGCAGCAACGTGCCCGATTCTCTATAGGTTTTCCGTGCGTGCATTTCGAAGGCTTCTAGAAGAAGACTTCCAATATTGTTTTCCTTCCAGCAATATGGCGCCCAATTTTCCACGGCTGAGCGGGAACAATAAGGCAGGAGCGGTGCCATATTGGCCAGACCCAGCATCATCCGGGGCCGACTTTTATCACGCGAGAGAAACACATTCTTGCGAGGCTGCAGTAAGACGCAGAAACTTTTGCGTCTATTTCTAATGCAGAAGTATAAAGGGATGCAGAGTGTGAAACCCATATCTTTTTTGACCACATATCCAGGTCTCCCATTGCAGGGTTATACTCATTTCAAGAAAGAAAGAAATGCCGTGCAGCACTTCTTCTGGCGCCTCAAGTCCGGGTCCATCCTCATATGGCTCGGATTTTGATGATATCTGTACCCCTTTCACGGAAGGATCTATTCTCTTTGATGAACAAGATATCGAGATTGCAGTCCAGTGTTCGGCGATAGAACAATACATACTTGTTGTGGGCGGGTGTGGCTTCATCGGTTCACACACTGTATGGGAGCTTGCAAAGGCTGGATACAATGTACCTAGTCCCTTTTCTAGTGTGTGGAAAGAAGCTGATCTGATGAATACAGGTGGTTATCGTAGATAACCTTAGCAATGCCTTCAGTTCCGTGTTCGATCGATTGGAAACAATGGTAGCCGACCATTATGATACCGTAAAGATAGGTTACAGGCGACCGTCGCTCAAACTATACGAAGCCGACTTCAGAGACACACAGCGAATGACAACGATCCTCGAGGCTTTCGAAATCCCACCGAAGTTGCACCAGACGCCGCAGAAATTTAGACGTCAGTCTCAGATTTCTGGCGTGATACACTTCGCAGCATTCAAGGCCGTAGGAGAAAGCATTCAGCAGCCTTTGAAGTACTACGCCAACAATGTTGGCGGCCTGATCGACTTCTGCAGCTTGTTAGGTGACTTTGGAATCAAGAACTTCGTCTTCAGCTCTTCGGCGACCGTTTATGGGACTGTTGCTGATGTTGGAGTCCCACTGCGAGAGGAATATTGCAGCCAAGAAACAACGGTTTTTATTGACGAAGACGGCCAGAAGAGGGTGGTGGAGTCGGGATGCGCTGGCTTAACAAATCCGTACGGCCGGACTAAATGGATGTGTGAAGCAATCCTCAACGATTTGGCGCATAGTGACCCTGACTGGATCATCACAGCACTGCGATACTTCAACCCAATCGGATGTGACGAAAGAGGGCTTCTTGGTGAAGATCCGAGAGGTGCTGCAACAAATTTGATGCCTGTCGTCCTTCGAGTCGTCACTGGCGAGTCTCCTGCCCTAAACATCTATGGTGATGATTATGACACGCCTGATGGAACTGCCGTTCGTGATTACATTCACGTTACCGACCTGGCGTTGGGGCATTTAGCTGCACTCAAATCGCGCGTGGGTCGTGGTTTCCGAGTGTACAACCTGGGTACAGGTCAGGGCTATTCGGTGCTTGATGTGGTAAGGGCCATGGAGCTGGCGTGCCAACGCAAGATCCCGACCAAGATGGTAGGCCGTCGCGAGGGCGATGTAGGCATGTGTATCGCTCGAGCCGGACGGGCAGCCGAGGAGCTTGGATGGCGGACTGAGAGAAGTCTGGAGACGTGCTGTCGAGACATCTGGCGCTTTCTTGAACGTGTCGCCACCGAGCCCAAATCAGTGATCGCACAGTAATAGGGCGAGTTACTGTACTTTCTTTTATATCATTACTGGAGTTGAGGGCAAGGGCGAATTTGAGGTCCGGGATGGGCACAACCCATTTGTATTGTGCTTGCTTTGAGTATTGAGGTGAGAGGGGAGATGGCCTGTCGTTGATGTATGTTCTGAGGTCGCTAAGCTCTCACGTGGCGGCGGGTGTGGTGATCTACAGTATCCCTTATCCGAACATGAAGTGAGGGGTTGGGACCTTTGGGGTTACCTAGTTTGTCTTGAACAATTGGTTTTTACAGTGAGAGCAGAATCAAATAAAATGCATAATACTTGGTAGTTATGTTACAATAGTTACATAGGTGGCTTGTATGGCCCAACGCTTCTTACAAAAATGAAATGGGTATCACATTGTGTACCTGCAACAGAAAAGAACTCCCCCATGTTGGTGCGGCCCAACTCTCATCTAGTTGCCAGAAAAAAAAACAGTACGACAGACCCTTCCAGCATTCGTTGTCAAAGGGCTCTATTAAACAACATCCATCCGTCATCAGTATCTAGATTCCATCTATTTGGACTGCGTCTTAAGCAACCAGTTTGTTGGGCCTGTTGGAATCGCTGCCGGACTGCGCCACAATTGGGTGCTCTCAATGCACGGGAGAGCGACCGACTCCCTCTCCTTGCGGTCCCATGGAGCAGTGTGTGGGTTCGAGAAGAGATCTGACTCGACTGTGCGGATCACGCTAGTGGTTTGCCACATGGGGCCACCGCTTTTTACTGATGAGACCATGGCTGGGGCCCAGGTGACTGGCTTGGATTGGCCCTGCGAGACGGAAACCTGCTGTTCCTGTTTTCTGCTGGTAGCGTGGAGCCAATCGACATTCTGAGACGCAATCTCAATCTTGGACTCAAACAATCTATCAGAAGTTAAGCTTGGTAAGGCTGCTTGAGATGAGCTTGCAACTTTCTTAACCGCCTGGCTTGTCAGATGGCTAAACAGCTCTGGTTGGTCGATGGATTGAATGACAATTGGTTTGGTCCACATTTGCATGCTATCGTTCTTGGTTGACGTCTTAACGACCTTGGTCCATGTTTGAACCTGGGAACTTCTAGTAATGGCAGCCTCTTGTCTGCTGAGGACTAGCAAGTTGATTGGCTTAGTTGAAGCTTGGATTGATTTCCAAAGATCTGCTGACTCCAGGGTTGCGAGCTTGGTTGCAGATGTAACACTTGCACTCTTTCTGCTCGTGCTTTTTTTGGTAATCTCAAGACTTGGGATTGCGTTTCGGTCGAACGTGTTTCCCGTCGACCACATGGCGGTTTCAGTTGCAGTCTTCGCAAGTCGTGCGGTTGGAGAGGTCCATGTTAGTGACTTTGTGTTGCTGCTGTACTTGGACTTATCGAAGCTACTAGCAGTGAACCAGTTTGGCCGCAGAGTGGCAGGCACGGGAGCTTGCCACAATTGGGTCGATTCCAACTTTGGCAGCTCTAATGAGACAGTGCTTGTTCCTTTCTTGGAGATACCTTCAATAGACAGAGCGAGAAGGGTTGGGGCACATCGGTCAAAGGACGCATTTGGGGACCACATAAGGGAGCAATCAACCTTGACTGGCGAAGTGGTCATGATCGGGGTCCATGTTAGAGAGTTGACTCCAGTATTGATAGCTCGAGTAATCGTAGTCTTGGAGCTAGTAGCTAGCCAATCACGCTCCGAGCTGTGAGTCTGCTGAATCTTCCAGAGTTCGGCCGATCCTAAGGTTGCTAGTTCTGTGGTCTTAAAAGCGGTTGTGCTTCTAGTGGATCCAGAGATAGGGAAAAACAGAGCGGGCACGTTACGATCAGAAGTAGTCTCTCTAGACCACATTCCACTCTCAACTTTCATAGCTTCAACTTTCTGAGCTGAGGACCAAGTAAGGGAGGTGATTTTGGTGATTTTGGTGCTACTTGTCAACCAATTATGTTGCGCAGAGATAGCTTGTGTTGCCTTCCAGAGTTTGTTTGATTTTAAGGTTACTAATTCTGTAGTCGGTGCTCTTCTTGCAACATAGACAGGTGTAAATAGAGTTACCGCATTGCGATCAAAGACGGCATTTTCGGACCACATGGGGCCCTCAACTTTGGCTGAAATAAGCTTTGGAGCGGGAGACCAGGTAAGCGAGTCGAATTTGGTGCTGGTAGTTTGGGTCTTAGTCGTCAGCCAGTTACGCTTGACGGGAACGGTCTGAGGTGCCCGCCAGAAGGTAGCGGATTCTAAAACTGGTAAAGCGAGGGACTTTTGACCAGGGGCCTTTCTAGCTGGGGTATCCTGAGCTTGTAGAAGGGGCCCTTCAGCTGTTGCCTTGCTGGGTACTTCTTTTGACCAAAGTGATCCCGTTTGTACAGAAGCCTTCTCCTGGGTAGATGGGGTCCACATGAGTCCTGTTTTGCCTCCACAAGCTTCCTCTAAAGCTGAAGCCCACATCTCAGGGGAAGCTGTGAATCGTTGTAGGCGAGGCATCGACTTAATGATTGCTACATTAAGCTCAGACTTCCACATAGCGAGGGACACAACCTGGCGTTGGAGGCGAGCTTCAGATTTCACAGTTGTCTTGTTCAGTTCGGAGCTCCACACAGCTGGAGATGCAGTTTGGCGTACTGAACGAGGGGTGGATTTGAGCATTGCAATCTCCAGTTCCTTGTCCCATTCGGCCGCAGATGCTGCGGAGCGAGAAGAAACAGGCTTGCGGGGTGCCTTCATGACAGGTACAACGGATTGTCTGGCTATCTTAAACAAACGGCCAGTCTTGACGGGTGCTTTGTCGTACTTCGCTGCCTTGGATTCGAATATGTCTCGAGCAGAAAGGACTTTCGACTCCCTGAAAGGCGCCTTTGCTTTGATTGGGGCTGGAATCTTCGTTTCTTTGACGGACTCTTCAACAATTGCCTCGGGCACTTTTGGAAGTTGCCGCACAGGTAACTTGGAGGCCGGCTTCGAGTCGACTACAGGTGTTTGGGAAGGTGGTCCTTTAGCGGATCTGGCACCCATTTCCACAGCCGAACCGGCAGGGCCCCAGACAGACGAAGCCATGGTGCTATTGGACTTGATTGAAGACGAGTCTGATGCTGGAGAAGTCTGTCCGGAGGTTGCGGTTGAGTAGCCGGATGGGCTCTCTGGTCTAACGGACGACTCAGAGATCCAATCATGTTCAGATTCGGTCACGAGAGAGTCACTCCATAGCTTACTGGAAGCCAGAGGGCTCAATGACATGATTGTTGGTCGAGGTTTACGACTCATGGTAAGCGCAGCTGGCAACATTGCGGTTGTACGAATGGCAGTTGGGGTCTTGACACTAAAGAGGCCGACAAGAGCAACTTCGCTTACTTCGCTGACGGGACTCCACATAGTCGCTCTCGAAGGAGAGGCCTTGGTAGTTACAGCTTGCCACATTGACCACGAGCTTGGAGCGGTTTTGCTTGAGACAGAGGCAGACCACAATTCTGTCGACTCGATGATTGGGAGGGTATCCAAAACTCGAGGCTTAGATCTAACGATCTCTCCTGTCGAAACAATGAGAGAGAGCCAATCGCTTTCCCGAGGCTGTGGCAAGCCGATAAGTGCTGCCATGGCATCATTACGCTCACCAGTCCATAGCAGGGAAGGTCTGGACGGAGTTGAAAGTGGTCGGACAATCGTCACTGCACCATGCTCCCTCCCCTCGTCCAAGTCACTCTTTTCATTATCGGTCTTGATCATCTTCTCTGGGTCTTTGTATACTGAAGCTGGGAGCAGGCTGTTTTTGGATGGAACGTCTGACGAGTTTAGTAAGCTAGCAATCTCCCACAGTGTTGTCTCGTCGAATTCATCATCGCTATCTGCATAGTCCAGGTCTGAATCTTCTTCACTATCAAAGTCGCAGTCGTCAAAGAATGAGGTTGAATAGTCATCCAAATTGGGCTCCAGTTCTTCGGACCTTGCCTGAAGGCTTGGGTTCAACACTGGACCCGCGCCGTAAACACTTGCGTTCAGGGTTGGTTGGTATTGGGCAGTATCGGACTTCTCGCCCCACGGGAATGAAAAAATGCCGAGTGTGTCACGCTTGTTGGGCAATGGGACAGGACTCTCAACTGCGGTCAAATTAGCCTGAGAGTATATACATATGAAATGACAAATTCGATTACGTACCAATATCTGGGAGGATAGTAATTCGCTTCGACTTCCGTTGCGGTCTCTGCGTGACTGGACGTGTGACAATACTGTTTGGCCTGACAGGCTTTGAACCCCAAAGAGCAGTCACAGCGCGGCTTCGAAGCGACGAGCGAGGCTTCGTCCACATTTTACAGCTCTCAATGGTCAACAAATCACCTCCCTTCCGCTGTGCTGGGCGAAGGTCGATAGCCGGAGGGGTGGGGGAAACGGCGCGGACTACCGTGACTTCGGAGGGTCCGTTCCACAACCCGCTAGCTGCAGGTCTCAGTGATGGCTCAGCGGACTGCCAGATATGGTTTTTGATCTGTTCCCTGTGCTCGAATATTTCCTCATCTACAGAATCCGACTCCGATTCAGACCCTAGGTCAATTGACGAGCCTATGCTGTCCGGGGGTGTCGGGCTTCCAAGTTGCTCGCTTGTTTTCGAAATCGAAAGGAAGTTCAAAGTCTTTCTATTGTTGGGTAAAGCGAGCGCATGCTCAAGGTACTCGTCTTGAGCTTCTGCGAGTCTTCGCTGCCAAAGGCTTGTTCTGGAGTTGCCAGAAGAGTTTGTTGACATAGTAGCACCGCTTTTGATCCGCTGCTGTCGGGGGACCAGACGAGAGGACCGAATCGACTTCTGGGAAGATTGTCTTGAAAGGGTCTGTTCTGAATGCACTGATGCCTGCGGTGTCATTATCAACGACATCGAATCACGGTCATTATTCTGCAGGTGTCTCCACTGGTCTTCTTGTTGTCCCATTTCTCTTTCAAGGTTTTCGAGTAATATGAAACGGCCACCAACGGACTCGACAGAGTCGCGGTTTGGTCCTTCAAACTTTTTGAGCTGGGCTTGGATTTCCTTTATCGCATGCTCTGGAGAATCGATTGGGGAAGGCTCAGCGGTACGAACAAGAACAGTGGCTCCCCTACCATTGCTATCCAATAGGAGAGGAGGTGGAGGGGGCATTTTTCGGACTCTAATATTCGCATTTCTTTCTGAAAATGTGGGCAACTCGTCGCCAATTCGGCGGTGCCAATTAGGTATATCAGAGAGTAATTCCGTAGATTCTGTTGGCTCAGATAGGATGGGTTCCATAATGTCATCGGCATCAAACATCACGGTAATGACGCTTTCTTGGTCATTGTACTCAATCGAAGGAACATCTTGGAGCAATTTAGCCGTAGAAGCAGAGTTGGAGCGCTTGATAATTGTCGGTCGGGCAGTCTGTCGTGCCTTTGCAAGATCCACAGGTGGAATCTCGGAATGCACCGATCCCCAATAGCTGCTAGTCGTGTCATCTGGAGAGCTTCCATCACTGGCTTCAGTCCATACAGACTTTCTGTCTTCATAGACAGATAATTCCTTTGGCTCTGCTGTGACGGAGTTACGAGCATCAATATTCTCAGCAGGAACTCCTGGGAGCCAAGTCTCCCCCACATTATCAGCAATAGTTCGATAGATTGACCCGCTAGTTCGATCTGTTTGCCCCTGAGTCTTTGCCTGTGGAGAGTTGGGTCGAGTAAATCCAAACGATGACATTGTTGTGCGTTTAGAGTCACGATTGCCGGTATTGAAATCAGGTTGTTGTGGGATGTCCGCTACCAAAGCAGGCGAGGGTCGTGGCAGGGAAGGCACTGATGAACGACGTTTCTGTATTGAGGGAACTCCTGGTGGTGCAGGAAACAATAGCTCAATTTTCTCGTCGAAAGTCATACTTTTTGTTTCATTTGGTAGCAGGCGTCTTAAATTCATTGCGCTAGTTGGTGGTGGTGGAAGCGGTGGAAGATCCATTGGGTTTCCCGGGTGTGTCCCAAAGAGAGACTTCCTTAATGCAATTGAGGATACAGACTTGCTGCGTCTGTGTTCACTAGGAAATATATGCCTATCTTTTTCGGAGTCTTCTCGCTTAATGGGACGTGGTCGGTGTATGATTGAGTCCGTTTTGCGATGGGTCGAGCTATATGAATCGTCTGGCATTTTACCGGCTGTCTTCGGTCGTTGAGCTGAAGAATCCATGATATCCTTGAATATGGTAGGATTGTCATAGACGATTTCATTTATCAACATAACCGTCTGATCTTTCCTTGGTAGTGGTGGTGAAATGCGGTTTCCAACAGCTCGAGGGTTCGTCGGTAAACCTATGGTAGGTTTTCTTTGGAGTGGAACTGGAGGTTTCTCATCGACTGTCCTTTCGAAGCTCCTGGAACTTCGTGGTGATCGACGCCGAATCTCCTCGTGTCCGGGTGAGAGAGAAGCAGATGTTGTGTTTGAAAGACTTGGAGAACGTGACCCAGGAATCGTTGATAACGCCACAACGCTTTCGGTAAAGTCATCTTTTCCAGGTTGTGAAGGTTGCAAAGAGGACTCTCGGCTATTGACGAGCCGAGAACGAGCCAGCATCTCTTGCCGTCGCTCTCGCTCATTTGCAGCTGCTGTGGCGAGGTCAATGGTCGAAATTTTTGCAAAGGGCTGGGCGGAATTGTCTTCATTGTTGTTTGCTACTGGGCCAGAAATTCCTCGCCCGCGGACAGTTGGTTTCGCCTGTGTCTTTGACCAAGGGAAAAGTGGTTTTTTCGCTTCGCTTAAGGGGGAACGAGGAAATGACCTCGTAGGGAGATTTGGTGTGGTGGCTGTTCTCGCAGGCTGGATTTGTGGTGCCATTACTGGCGCATTTCCTGCTCCTCCAAAACTTGCTGGAAATATTCCACTAGATCCCCGGTATCCAGGCCCTCTTGATTGTGGAGGGTTACTTGTTTCCATTTCGACAGCTTGTACTGTTACCTCTCCACTGGGTTTCGTAAATCCACGGGAGTCTCTCTGAAATCTTCCCGATGCTGAGTCCAGGTTTGTTGAGCGGGGAGTTGACGATGGATTCACGACAAATAGGCTTCCACTGTTGGAATAGTTATGGCCTGGATTTGGAGAACCATCACCCACCCGCTCACGCTCATTGAATACCTCGCGGGTTGCAGGAGGTGACGGGGTTATAAATGGGGATTGTGCTTCTGGCGTCGTCTTCTTCTCTTCTGCCTTAATCAACAAAACAACTGAGAAAATTGTGATGATACCTTGGTAAGTTAGCATTAATCTTGTTGGACGCTGACAAATTTACTGACCGACAACTATCAGAAGTCCGGCAGCAGGCAATGTAGTCCTAATAATCAATTCGATGTCTGTTTTTCCCAACATCATCGGAACGCTCATCTAATTGCCAATCAATTAGTAGACTACAACAAATCAGGCGCGAAAAACTCACTCCTGTCCAGAGAGCAAAAGCCAGTATACTAAAGATGAGAGCTCGTCCTTGCTCCTTTCTGGTACTCCAGCTTTCTCGGATAATCAAGACCCCTATTATAACAGCCTCGAGTGCCAGGACAATGATGGCTATGGGCAGAATGGATGTACTGGCAACACACACTGGCGCAAAATCCGGTCGGGTCAACGCTACAAGGGCAATTCCCGCAACAAATCGTATGCCCAAGATTCCTTGCAATATTAGTTGTGAAGTGGACGCTTTCGTTCCCTGGCACAAAGCCCATAATAAGAATTGTTCTACGCTGACTCGGGCCAGTTGATCGAATGAAGTCGAAAAGATCAACAATGCCTGGCAGGTCGTTTGTGCCGTCGTCACCATGAGGTTGAAAAAGCTGATTAGTGCCCATAACGCGGCAGATGATAGGAACAGAATGAGGACCAGCCTCCGGCCGTCCTGAGAAAGTTTGCCCCCATGTCCTTTATAAAATATGAATAACGCGCCAGTCGCTGCTTGAAGAAGAATACCACTATCCGGAAGGTTAGCTCTCACTGCACCGAAACTTGGTCACCGTTCACTGACAATGAAAAAGCGGCCGTCAATGACTGTATGCTACTAGAGAGCGACATGGTTGCTGACGGGTAGCACACACACGCGCGATATTATAATGACGGCCCAATCTATGGGATAAACTAGAAAAGAAATATGGAACGAAAGAGCATCGTGGACGATGATAGTCAGCAAAAATCCCCGATGGTCTGTAGTCTGTAGTCTATAGGACGAGTGCGGGGATAGGTGAGAGAGGAGGGTGAAGGTAAGGGCGACAACGACAACGACAACGACAACGACAACAGAACACCGTGCAAGTAGCTGTGTAGTAAGGAGTGTAGAGCGATGGCAAGAGGCTGTGAGTAGCAAGTCACGAGAGTCAAGGCGATCGGTGACTTGAGACTCAGGAGGGGATGGTTCGAGGAGACAAGTACGGGTGCTAAGGCAGATGGCAGCTGCAGATTTCTTCCAGGGGCCGGCTGAGCAGATTCGGCCAAGCTCGAAATCGGCCTAAGCGCATCTTTCATTGGATTGAAGATTAAACAATCTGGACAGACTGGACTCTGGGGCGGTGGGATGGCCCCAATCCGGTCCCCGTCGCCCGAGGTGCAAGAACTGGAACAAGATCTCTGACGGGAGCGGCGATACCTAGAGTCGGTGCTGCGCGTGTGATTGGCGAGAAAAGGGGGGATGTCCATTTAAGGTACAACCGTGCGTCCCAAAGCATGGGTCCTGTTTCGCACGAAACCGTTGCCCCGTTTCGTAACCTCACGAGTCCTCACGACCCGACGAGCAGTCTACTTGCAGAAGTACGGAGTACTTGAGAATCGAAAGTCACATTACTCGGTTGTGGAGCACAATGAACACTTCGACTTCGACCTCGTGCTCCCCACGTCAAAAGGTTATTTTTGTATGTGCTGCCACTGGTAGAAGAAGATAACCTTTTGTTTGGTTTTAGCGGGGGAGTATAGCGAAGTGAGTTCTGGTGTCTCCTCATAGCCAAGATCGCCATGTACTTCTACATATAGAAACAACAAGGTTATGACTCTCTGCATCTCGGTGTGCACCCTACGAAGGTACGGCTTGGTGGGAGGGAAGTTTCAATCATCAGTGTGGGTTAGTAAAAGGCCAAAACAATTTTGAAGGACCACGTCAGTGACATGCAGAGACTCCGAGAGGTGGGCATTAATCTGTCTCGACTCTCGAAGGCGAGATAGCAAATGAATCCGTGGTACGGGCCACGACCACAAGCGAAGACCATGGGCCAGATTTGGATAGTTACCGTTCCGGATATCTATCGAGCATCAGCCGGTTCATCACAACGTACGAGATACAAAGTACGAAGTAAATCGCATGAAATGACAACAGTGTTGCATTTGATCTTCCGGCGGGATCACCAAAAGCCTTCCGAGCCAAAATGTGTTGGAAGTATGGTGATCATCTCAACTACTATTAAGCCTACCCTTTGAAAACTTGGTATAGATTCCATAAATGAACTACTTACAAAATAGTGATATATCTGAATTCGAAATTATCTTTCAATCGCAAAGTAACTGATCAGCATCGCGGAAATCCTCGACTCTTGTTACTATACCAGTATAAATTCTGGGAAGCTCGAAGATCGGTTTGATTTACCTAGGCTATTGCCAGCACATCAATGCTATTGGTCGGAATCCTGGAAGTCTTTGGAGTGCTTGCTGTCTTTTCAGTGGCTCCTGGTCCGGTATATTCAGGTACCCTATGATGAGACGAACTCTTCAATGCGTTCCGAAAGTTCAATTGAGTGTTGTCAAACTTCCAGAATTCTCGTTTATTAGCTTGTCATTAGCTTTTATTAGGGGCGTTCCTAACGAAAAGTCAACGTTGGGTGTGGCCTGAACCAAGGGTTTGACAGAAAGTTGACAGCGAAGGAAGTTGAGAAGGGGTTTGTAGTCCGCTGGATCGCTGCACTCCTGCAACTCCATTACGTGAGATGGTAGCCTGTCTCATTCTGCTGGCTGCCGGCTGCAAGACCAATCCTGCATGAAAAACGGTGTGTATTCTTTGAAACCCCAGATACTAGGATACATAGCTCTAGACTATTATTTATGCATTCGTTTACGCATTCGTTGGGTGAGTGTCAGATATTGGAAAACTGGCGCTGCCAAAGAAATCGCAAAGATAGAGTATCTTCATTGCTTGGTGAGGCAAAAGGAACGTAAGGCAAGGGCTGAAAATAAAGATGATGGTACAAGACCGTTTTCCAAAAGCTTCAGTCAAATCAGCGGACTGTAAGCCACAATTTTATAAGGATGCAATGGCAGAAAAGGATCAAAGAAAGAGAGATGAAGGGGGAGGAGTACTCATACCAGTGAAGCGAAAGAGCAGCTGTCATAAATGAAACAAATCTATAGCCAACTGGGCTACAATACATGGAGAGAGGATAACGTATGGCTGCTTTGCTTTTCTAACAATATCGTATCGGCTCTACGAGATGGGAGTACTTGAAATGATCATTCAAATGGTAGTACTCTGTACTTCTACTTCGTATATATCTAATAAGCTCAAAAACTGTTTGCAGGTCACATAGAACACGTGAAGCTCAGCACCATCTCCACCTATTAGAATAGATCGGACTTACATAACACCGACCGGCGGTATGTTCGGGAAATCAGGTCATTTCTCGTACGATTCTTGCACGACAAGCAACACACCAGAGCAGATAGCAGATAGCATAGGCTCAATTCATCCTCTCCCACCGTCTCTTCTTCCCATTTCCACGCATCTTGTGATTTGTCTTCTGCGCTGATCCCCTGAAGTGTTCTGGCTTTATCCTTGCCTACACGATTCCCATGAAAGCAAAACTTACGAGAATACCTACAATCACGCCAGACGGACAGCCCACCTCATCCCACCTAGGCCATTGTAGGCACATCTCCATCGCAAGTATCTACGCATTACGCAAGTAAAGAACGGTACGGTACGGTACGAGACCAGACCGTACGATCCGCGCCTGCGCCTAGGTGCAAGTGACTCAGAAGCAAATTGACCTGTCTTGTACCAACGCAAAGGCCGACCACACTACGCACCACCCAGCACGCCCCTCACGCCCTCGGCCCCCCAGTCCACTCGCGATAATGTCTAAAACGACAGTTGATCCAGCAGCGCTGACGGGTTTTGGCATCGACGACTTCAGTGATCCAGTGAGCTTTGTTGACGTTGACACACTAGACCAAGAGCCTCTCTTCGCCGCTGATTGGGACCAACCTCAGCCAGCAATGGGGACCCCTCCTTACGATGACGGCAATCTCTATTCCACCCCATTGAACTGGGACCCTCCAGAAGCCAAAATCGAACCACTCTACGCCGGACAATACACCAATCATACTATGAATACCCTCACCCCCGAAGTGCGCGAAAAACTGCGCAACATCGCCATGCCTAGCCACCTTCAGTATCGCGGCCACCACAGTCCCAACTCCACGGTGAGTTACAAGAGCAATTCCAATTCGGCTTCGTCGCCCAAGACCAACGGCAGCAACAGCAGCCGCAAGCGCAAGTCCTCTGCCTCAGGTGACGACGAGGACGAGGATCCTGCCGAAGGGCACCCGCCGGTGAAGAAGACAGCCCATAATATGATCGAAAAGCGATATCGAACCAACCTAAATGACAAGATTGCTGCGCTACGAGATAGTGTACCCAGTCTCCGGATAATGACCAAGAGTGCCCGCGGCGAAGACACTGCTGACGATAGGGAAGAGCTGCAAGGATTGACACCTGCCCACAAACTAAACAAGGCAACTGTTAGTAACCTCTTCCATTGCAAGTACAGAACATCGATTAACGCTGCCCTATTAGGTTCTCAGTAAAGCCACCGAGTACATCCAATTTCTAGAGAGGAAGAACAAAAAACTACAGGCGGAAAACGAGTTGCAAAAGGCTCGTATCGCTGCATTTGAGACGTTGTTCCACTCGGGTTCATTCCCCTCTAATCCTCATCCTCATCCCCAAATGACGAATCAGTTTCAATACCCCCGAGACTACAATACTCCAGGTCATTCGCCAACTGGTGATCCTCAGGGCTTGATTCCAGTTCCAGAGAATATTCAACGTCTTCACGCTCAAGCGAACCGACAAGCACCATATCCCGTTCCACAACAACAATTCAACCAGAATCGACAACCAGTTGGACAAAACGGCTGGCAAACTGGAGGGGGATACTTTGGCAAACTAATGGTTGGATCTTTAGCCGGCCTAATGCTCATGGAAGGTTTCGCCGAAACCGAGCAGACAACTGCTACTCCTGGCGGTCGTGGTCTCTCTGCGCTCCCATTCCAGCTTATTGGAACCCTTTCGAAAAGCCTTTACTCTTCAATGGACGTTAGGCTACTTGGTTACCACGTTTCAGCAGCCCAATCCCTAAATTATATGAAAATCTTCTTGGTCATCGGTGCCTTTGTAACGATTGTCCTTCCTTCCATGTCCACAAGAACCTCAAGAGTAAAGAATGACAAGACAAAACCTGCTGAGCTATCCGCGGCACCATCACTCGCATCACCAATTCATCTACGTCGACAATCTTGGCTTACCGCAATTCAAACAGTATGGGTGCCACGTCATAACTTCTTCCTCGAGGCGGCTGCTCTTTGTCTTAAAATTGCAAAGCTCAGCATTCGCAACTTTATTGGTTCGGAAGGCTACGCCTATCTGACCGGTATTACTCTGCAAGAAGAGGCTGCCAGAGTCAAAGCCTGGGAAATTGCCCTGGATGCTCAATTGGCCGGTGGCGATGTTGAGGTAAGCAAGAGCCGACTGACTCTGACTTTGTTGGCTTCAGGCACTCTGCCAGATACACCAGCCAGATTGATGCTCAAGGCATTACATATTCGAGTACTCCTTTGGGAGGTGGGTAATGCCGGCTTCAATGGCTTCTACATGTTTCATGAGATTGCTGCAAAGATGGCTCGTTGGAAGTGGAATGAGGCAAAGACAATGCACCGAATTCCCATCCAAACTAAGGAAAAGCCCGATGGCCATTTTCCAGAATACCTGCAGGCTCTTCTCGAGGAAGAATGCGATGACGTTCTCACCGATTGCATTGGTCAACGCGCTTATAACCTGGCTTGGAACCTTCCAACCACTTTTAACGTCCTCGGCTCCAGCGATGGCATGAATGGGGTCACAGATGATTCTGCCATTCGAAGCCCGCTCGATGCCGTAGCTGCATGGTATTCTAGCCTTGTTCTTCAAAGAGCACTCACCAACAGCCTCGACACGAAGACTGCCGTTGACAAAACCCATATTACAATCGCCAAAGACATTGCCCTTGCTATCAAGGTCGCGCCTACAGGATCTCGGTCTCATTCACAAGCGTTGGTAGCTCAAGCTCTCCTTGTGCAGGATAATCGTAAAGAAAACTTCAAAAATGCTGTTCGCATTCTATCTCCTTTCAAAGCAAAAGATGCGAAGAACGCGACGTCTACGCTCATCGACTCGACTTCTACCGTTTCTAGCCTCCCAGACATTCGCATGACGTTGCGATGTGCCGAAGCAATTACGTGTCTCGATGAGTTTCCCTCGCCACAAAACCCCGTTGGTGCACACCCTACCATCAATGCCATTGCCCCAGCCATTGTCCCCGCGAACCTCAGTCTCCTCAGCTTCACGGCTGCATTTCACCTCATGGAAAAATTGCATGCTCATGAGAAGATGGCGGTTAGCTGTTCTATGACATTGGAAAAACTGGCCGGTAGCTTGCGAATTTGGATCGGCGGTCCGTATGGTGAAAAGAGTGGTCTTGAGAAGAGTGTCAAGAAAGACATGGTGGAGCGATGTCTGACGATCACGAAACATGTTCTTGGAATGGAGAAGGATGCGGGTTATGAGAGCATGAGTGAGGGCGATACGAGTGAGGGTTGTTGATCGGCTTCTGGATATTGGACTTGATATTCTCTGATCTTCTCTTGCCCTGCATTACTGAGGGATTTCACATTCTTGGTTGTACATTGATGGGTAAATTGCTTTTGGGGGCGTTTAGCGGGTACTGGTACTCGAACTTGATGCACCGAATGATATTCATGTGTGTGATGGGGCGTTGGGAACAAAATTCATTTTCTTTTTTAGTTACATTTGCAGCAGGAAAGTTTTAGATTATTCATCTTCGTGTCTCGAGAGTACCACGCTTGTGTTGCCGCCATATCATATCGTACCCTGCACATTTCCAAATATTTTTCTTTAGGTATATCAATGTAGTTACAACCAAAATAGTTGAACATTTGGTTTTCTGTAATTTGCTACAAAAGAAAGCTAGTACAGGGTTTTTTTTACTTACTGCTCATTAAGTCTGACTATACTTCGTTAGTGTTCTGATTTTAATCCACTGCTATACTGACTCCTAGGTGTAGACCTCGTGACCCTTGTATAGCTTGAAGGCTGTATTGTTTTTCGTGAAAGCTTTAGATGTAGGTGTATTTCCAAGTAGGGATAAGCGAGTAAAAGGGGGGTAGACTTTTACTTGTTCGCTTAGGATTCTTTTGATGTTTCATACTTTTTTATAGACAAGAAATTAAGAATAAAAACCATTGAGAAAAGAAATTTGAAATGTAAATCCATATAGATCGTATTACGTTAATAAAAGTCGAAAAGAGTTTAGACCTTTAAACTTTACCCTAGTACGTACTTTAAATCGCGTATCTTGTTAAATCCTCGTAGGTTACTTACTAATATTTATTTCCATCTCATGTAGTAGAAATAGAAACAGTATCTAAGTATCTCTTATTAGTATAATAGTAGTAAGATTTCTCCTTGAAAATAAGATTAAGAAAGATTATATTTAATACTATAAACTAAGTATATTAAGAAAAAACCTATTATATAATAATAGACGATATATTATTATACTAAATGAAAAAATAATAACCTAGTAAATATAGAAGGATTATAGGAAATAGTCTAGTTTTTGTTTTACTTTTTTTTATAAGAAGTTTAAGTAGTTATTCTAAGTTAATATTTTTTATATTAGTAATATTCCAAGGAATTACCTCCTAGTATAATGAAGTATTTCCTGATCTCGGATCAATCATATACTAGTACTCTGTAAAATATAGTATTAGAATTGTTGCGATATATTCACGTGTTTAATCACGTGATAATCCAGGCTATATATAGCCTGGATTCCACGTAGTAGACAGAACATCAACGATTATTTAGCATACCGACCACCAGAAGTGTATGCCTGTTATTCGCCTTGTCCGCGATATGCCCTATAATTATCCCACCAAGTTATACCAACAAGAATATATTTCTCGAGACTAGAGTCTAAAGCGTGAACCTAGAAAGCAATTAATTTTCTTTCTCAATTTCTACACAGTGTACCTTTCAGTAACAACCTCATTTTTGAGATGTTTCCTCGAACAGTCTTAGAAGACTCTACAATTTAATGGGCGACTCTGAAACCGAATCATGAGAACGAAGATAAGGAAAGACTATCTATATCCTTAGATGTTTTCCTCGCAGGTTTTGTAATCTTACGAATGTTAATATAGTTGAAAAATTTCTTGACATGTAGAAAGCAAAAGAAATAGATTTATACGTCTATAAAAGAAGTCTTTTAGTATATTTAGAATGCCATAGTAGTGAGATTTCTTCAAACACGGGCCGAAAAAAGACCCCTTCGCGATTATAGAGAGGACTTTCGAGCTTCTCACAACTTACAACTCAACTCAAGCAGATATATTCCCATTAACTCTTTCACTCACCCCTTCAACCAGCCCACACCCTTACAGCCCCACAGCTCCATCGATTAAGATTATGCGTAACAACCCAGAAACAAATCACAAGCCCCAAAACTGTGAAAGCTAAACAGAAACCAAAACAAAATGGCAAAAGATCCAGCTCCCACACCTATAATACCAGGTATGGGACGTTCGGTGCCAGCCAACTTTTATTTGTTCTGAGAAGGACTGTTTTTTCAAAGCTTCGAATACTGTACAGAGTGGATTTATTGATAGGGCTTGTATGTGACCGAGGTTTTGCCTGCCAATGAGGAGAGTCCAAGGGGATGGGTGAAATTTGCTAGTATGAGATGAAAAAAGAGAAGAAACAGGAGTCTATAGGACATCCCTGTTTCCATCTTCCAGTCAATCTAAAATTGAGAGCAAGCGAGTTAGGTACGTTTCCCCAGGAAAGGCATCTCATGTCTAGTGGATCCAGCGTGCAAATGAGGACATGGACTTGACAAAATCGATGTAACACTTTGAGAATGGTTTTGTTCTTTTCCCTCGTCGATATGGCGAAGTGTAATAATAAGGATGAGTTGGGCGGTAGTATGGGTGAAATCTTAGCTGTGGTGGTTGCAAGGAATGGGGGATCGTAGGATGCTTATAAGCACTTGATTACAAAAGTCTTCCTAATATCTAGACATCTCCCATGCTGTAAGACTTTGGGTCGCGATAGACGAGATGACTAATTGGTATTCGGAAAAACCCATGTTATCGCGTTACTTCTCTATTTTCACTTTAAGCGAGGAACCAAGATATTTGAATTGATCACTCCAATTATTCTAGAACGCTCGCTTAATTGTACTACTTATTCCAATTCTTGAAGGTAACCGGAATCGCATTTTGAATGCTTAAATCAACGGAGAATTTTTCTCGTCAATCACGAGCCTGAATGCCATACCATACGAATCATACCCCTCTACCGGTCCAACAACTGCACCGCCAACACAACCCCTCGCCAACCCAACGAAGCCCAAACCAACAACACCACAACCGAGATCTGAAGCCTACCCCACCCACCGCCCCTAAATCCCCGAAGCCTCAAAAGCCACAGCCGAGCAGCAATCTCTCCCGTCCATCTCACCGCACATTACGCGCAGGAATGGCTATCCAATGGAGACCCCCTCCTTCTCTTCACCGTTACCAAGCAGAGAAGGAGCAGTACCGTAATACCACATGAGGAAACAAGATCTGCTGTACCGTCTGTGAGTATGCATGTCGTTAGATCGTCGCCTGGCTCTAGCCTTGAGAAGGATGGCTTGGAAAGTTCCTTCTCTTGAAGCAGATGGGAAGCCAGATGTTCTGAGGAGTGCAACGAATAGAATAGTATCTTGATGGCCAAGAGATATCACAAGATCACCTCGAGGTCCAAGCAGAAAAGTGATGGATAAGCAGATGACAAGCCAAGAAAAGGAGGGAAATAGACCAACATCAAATAGGTATGGTATACTCACCTGTCCAATAGCTATAGAATGACCCCCAGAAAACCATGCAAGATCGCATGATCGTGTCAAATATAGATTGACGACAACGATACCAGATTTGATCCAATGACTGAGACCCGCCTAAGCCAACACGGACGGCGAGGAAACTTCCTCCGCAAAACAGCAAGGACGTAATCCCCATCAGAAGTTCTGGAAAACATAATGAAGAAGTGGTAGGATGACCAGACCAGTGGCAATCCCCTCCTCTACACAAAGAAAAGAAAATGTACCCAATGAGATCAACCTCCACACACGATCACACCCAAGAGAATGGATCTAGAAGGCTCGCTCACTCATCAATACTGAAATTTTCCTCCGAGACGACAAGTCCCAGAGCTTGAGGCGAAGAGAGATCTATACATGACCCCCAAATGAAAACATGACGAACATCCAACTCTTCACATAGCGCCACCTACTAAGCTCATGAGAAGCCACCCCTGCATCGGCGTGAAATAAACCTATTCACAAGGAGGAGTGCACTTAGTATGTCGTCCAAGGGCTGCTCTACCAAGAGATGCCAGGATGTCAGGCTACCGACCAGGAAAGTGAGACCAACAGGTACTCATGCAGCCCACTAACGGGTACATGCAGGAGTTCGCTGCACGTAGCCGCAGTCTCGGTTCATGCCATGCCATGCCATGCCATGCCCACTCACCTCACTCACTCCAAACCCCGTCATAGTTGAAGTCGACCTCCATCCAAATTCCCCAAAAATCCCAAGAAGTCGAATTCGATTTCGCCGGGCCTTTCGTAGGGCAATCCCTCGGAATCTACCGATCGCATCCCACAATACTAACCCAATAATTCCACGTTCTGCTTGCAATAAATATAAACGGTGATCCGCCATCTAAGCGGGGAGAAGCGCGCTCCCACCACTACATCCATACGTCCGCAAAGGGCAAAGGCTACATTCCAGAGCGGAAAACGCCATCCCTCACCACCACCACCTCTGATTTGTCCCCAAGGCACGATGGCGGTGGCATTCCAGCCTGTTCCTACTTTCGGTCTGCTGATGGGCATTTTCCATACCGAACATGCGAGCAGTTGCCATGCCCTCAAACAGGGTTTCCCCGGCACTGGCTGCTGCGAACCGGTGCGGTGTGCGTGAACTGGTGGAGGGACGCCAGCCAGAATAGCTAGCCTGGTTCCCAGGCAGTGGGAGGGGGCGACTGCTGCATCTCCAGTGGGAGGGCAGGTTGTAGGGTGTTGTTTGTAAGAGCGTAGCGTAGCCTCGAAGGGAACCCCATTCTGGGCATGTCTCGTAACGTATCGTGAAGATATTCGCACCACAACTTGGATGACTCCCTCGAAAGATGGAGAGATGGGAATTTTACCAGCGAGAGAAGTGAGAGCGAGTTTGAGTGACGGTAGGAGAGCAGCTTTAAATTCTGCCCTCGACACAATGGATGAGCAATCGTCAAAAGAAAACTCACTCACTGCCTTTGCCCCTCGCACAGCTCAAAGGAGCGGTTTAAACGTGCATTCGCCAGAGAGAGCTAGAGCTAGAACCAGAGCTTACGGTATTGCTCGAAGCTTGCTCTGCGATACTGCTGCTCGCCCCCAGCAGAGCGGTTTGGGCGGGGGCTCGTGGGGAAGCTCAGGCTCTCGCTACGGAAGCATCTGGTTGGCTGAAAACAGACTGGCCCTCCTCGTCAAATTGCCCCAATCCGTACAATTCCCCTTTGTGAGTGGTTCTTATGTTGAATACATAAAGACCTATCCCAACAGTAACAAAACATATCCTTTCTTCCCGTTCGTATGTCATGTCCCATAACAAAGACCAAGAAAATAAACTCATCACCTCGATTGCTCTTGCCTACCAGCTTGACAAGCTGTATTTTTTGTGGTGGTCATTGCATAGAAACCAAATCTGAATCGACACATCCTGCAACAAAGAAAGGAGTCAGAAAAAAACAACAACACTCCAACCCACGCACCAACACTCAGACTGCAGAAGTTTCTGAGCCATTTCGCAACTAGACAGGCTCCAGGGGTACAGGGCTGGGAAACACGGGAAAACATAATTACAGATCCATTGCTCAGCTGCTACCTGCTGCCGTTCCAGAAATTACTGGGTTTGGCAGGGAAGGGGAATACGCAGCTCAACTGCAGGTCGGATACGTGCAATAGGTTCGTCCCAAAGATATTTTTCTCTCTCCCTCCACGTACCCTGCGCTCTGCACGATCCAAGAGAGCAAAGACAAACCCATCACCCCACCCGTTCCGCTTGATTCATCCTCCTGTCAGACCAAAAAAGTCGATAATAGATCATTTCAGATGAGGATCCCCTCCCAGAAGAAGAAAGAGAAGTTCGCTAGAATTTCTTTCCAGAAAACCGACGACTGCTTCTCTCACCCTTCCAGGTGCTCTGCTTCAGTTTTGTGTCTCACTCGTCACGTCGGCGTCGTCTGAGAAACTAACAACATCTGCGTATCGCTCTGACAACATCACACGCGGCAAGCCTCATCACCCAACAGAACAACCGAACGTGTCGTCGCCAAACTTCTGCAGGCAGGACCAGTATCAATTCTCAATTCCCAACACGCGCAGAATATTCGGCTTGCTCTGGAGGGTCCTTGCATTCCCTTTGCTAGAAGCCTCCCAATTTCACTTTTTCGCCGACTCAAATCACCCAGATCGGCCAGGTCACCCAGATCGGCCAGGTTGGCTTGGTAGCAACAAAAACAAGAGCTACAATAGTACCGATATCCCCAACTCATCTTTCATCTCCTCTCTTTTTTTTCGCAAAGAGGCCACAACGACCATTCGAATTCTTGTAGAGTGCTAGAATCGAAAACATAGACCAAGAAAAGACATACAACCCGCGAAAGGATCAGAGAATCGAGAATGCCGCTTTCTCCCCCAACTTCGAACAACGGCGAGCCACTGATGCAAGGATTCCATCACCTGCTTCAACATAACTCGTATACTGCCTACCCAGAACAGTACGACCATGGCGAAGGAGGGCGACTCCATTCAAATTATGGCTCGCTCATCCCTTCCCAAGGTCGTCCGGACAGTGTAGGCCCTCGTAATGGGTACCAATACACACAGCAGTATCTCGAACCAGGCCATGGAATGCCATATGTGAGTAGTTTGGTATCGCCAATGCGATGCCATATCCACTGACACAAGATTAGGACAATGCAGATATGTATGCGTACCAAGACCAATACAGCACACCCGCAACGTCGCCACCAACTTCATCAATGGGTGGTCACGATATGATACGAACAAGAAGTGGCCTCATCCAGCAAAGACCTAATCAGCATCTGCGACCCAAGAACGAGGCCAGATCGAAAACCGAGAAATCACCCAAGCCTAAGAGAGCCAAGAAGGACAAAGTCAAGACGGTGAAGAATGTACCACTAGTACCACTTAGCGAGCTGACGAAGGACTTCGAGCACAACCCCATGGAGGATATCGAGGCATACGTGAACCGCTCTGCAGAGGTGAGAAGAAAGGAGGTGGATGAGGGAAAACAGCCGGGTAGGGTCAAGCGGCCCATGAACTCGTTTATGTTGTATCGAAAATGCTATCAACACCGAGCAAAAGAGATCGCTTTGAATCATAATCATCAAGTGGTCTCTTCAATGTGTGGTGAACATTGGCCAATAGAACCAGACCATGTCAAGGAAAAGTTTAACGAGTGGGCACGCGTCGAACGAATCAACCATCATAATGCGCACCCAGGCTACAAGTTCTCCCCATCGAAACCAGGGGCAGCCAAGGGCGCGAAGCGAAAATCTCCTGGAGTGGGCGAAGAATTGGATCTCCCAGAGTATGATTGGCAAGAGAGACAGGTCAAAAAAGTCAGATCATCGCCCCTTGCTCAATCACAAAATCGACCAGTCGCCTATCCATCCAGAGGGTCTGCATACAGATATTCGCAATCAAGAGATGGTTCCATGGAGCCGAATTATGCTGAGAGACCTATGCATCAAAATCCGTCGCATTTCAACATGAGTAATCCTCATATGCAACCACCGCCACAGTACAACCAAATGTTACAGGGAGGTGAATACTATGAGCAAACGATCCGACCAAATCCCAATTACGATTTCGGAAATTATTGTTCTGCCGAAGACGTGCTTCTCAAAAAGACAGCAGCACCCGGCGTACACTCCTTCCTGGGACTTCCAGGTGGATCGAGTGAGTTGGATATTATGAACGGAATGATGCCTCAACATCAACAGTTCGATGGCATGCCTGTCGGTGTCGGCCCAGATCAAAAGATCGACCCCTCGTTACTTTCTAGTCAAGGTGCTCTCCACGATAACCCAGAGGGAATCTACTTCGGAGACACGCAATTTGAGGACCAGAAGTTCATACCGTACGGAGCTGGGTTGATTGATCCAAGTCTAGGCGATCCAGTCATGGCATTTTCAGACGCAGAGCCAAACCAGGAGGGAATGCCACTACACGATCCGCATATGGGCATCCTTAAAGGACATCAGGAGGGTTGGCATGTTGAGTCAATGGATGGTGGCCCTGAATTTGACAAATGGATGGACGGGGAATGAGCCGATCCTTCTTGTGAACGACGGCTGTATTTCATATAGGGAAAGGAGTGGCATTTTCCAGCATCTTTTTCGGGCAGCGCATGGCGTTGGAGGTCGATTTTGCTATTTTTTCCTTTTCTAGATTTGTTCGAGGAGTTTGTTGGCATTAGTGCCTAGGACAGAGGGAAGCTGGACAAAAAATGTCCATTGTATTTAGAAATGATGGGAGAGCGCAAGCTCAAGGGTGTTGTATCCTCTCGCAAGTATGTACACTGTGGGGATGAGTTGGTGTTGAGAGGTGAATCTTCTCGTGTTGTGTTCCAGTTAATTGAAAGGGGGGGGAGGGGAGGGAAGGGGGTAGTAGTGTACTGTACATATAATACAATGTTGATTTTCTGAAATTTCAAGTGTTCTTTGATCAAGATACTTCGTCTCTGGTAGACAGAAAAAGTGGCACACCATTTTGTTGTTCCTTTGATCTAGATAAATCTAGATCAAACTCAAATAATCAACCTAAATCTTTTAGGACAGTTCGTCTTGGGTCCTAGAATCTTTTATGATCAATGTTATTATATGAAGTAAACAACACAACGAAAAGATGAAAGACAACTTACGCAAATAATGTCCTCATTTGTTTCTTTTTCTGTCAATAGAATCATCGCTAACAACTTTGCTTATTGTAATTGACCGCCCCTTTTCTCTCATATGAGTTTAAAGCAAATGTATCAGATGGTTCCATAGTTACTCTGAAAACATTCAAAGTAGTAGCATGTAGTTTTCTGTCTCGTTGCCCTAACTTTGTAGATTAATTTAGATCGTTGATCTAGATTGTTAGATTAAGTGAAAATTACTAATCTAGGTGTTCAAGTTAATTACCTTGATTATCTTAGAACATTCGAAATATCGTTTCCATTGTTCCAAGTAATTAGAACAACGATAGAATTCGGAGATGTGAGAGAGATTTACTGCTTCATATCAAGGTAGTATAGCAAGGGCGTGGCAATGAGTAGAAAGGGACACTCGAGGAGTCTCTTCATCCCTCAAAATAAGGGGAACAATGGCATTGTTCTGTACGTAGGCTCCCGTCTTGTGAAACACGTCGTCGGGATGATGATCGTAGTAGGGTCAAATGAATAGAACAAGGGAGTAGTACATTCTCATTGTGTAATCGAATGGGGATAGTGATGTAGTGATGTAGTGATGATGATAAAATAGTAAAGATGTCGAATTACATTTGATTTGCGACCAATGGATCGGGGAAGTGAGCCCAGGTGATGCTCCCCCACGTGATTCCACAAGTAACCCTGCAGGTGCCCTGAACACCAAAGAACCCTGAAGCTAAACCCCTCAGCGCGTCACCCAAAATATCTCCAAGCTTGCGCGACTAGACAAACCACAATCCTCCCAACACCTCCCCAATCCAACCCCAAAACAGAAAAATCATGTACGGAGACGCAGGCCTCAAGCTAGTTAGTTTCTCCCCCATCCAATTCCTTCCTCATCCCAATCCCTAATTAACATTGGCAGGTTCAACACGCCAAACGCACGCAAAAACTCGCCCACCTCCCCGCCTACCAAACCGAACTCATCCGCTCCGTAACCCGCGAAGTCCGCGATCTAGATAAAGACGTCACCTCGATCTTGCACTCCAACAATGGCTCCATTGACCCATCCCAAGATCCCGCTACGGCGTGCACTTTGCTCGTCGACCATTTATGTATGCGGCGTAATAAGCGGTGTTTGTTAGCGTACCATCGCACACGCACGGAGAAATTGGAGGAGATGGTCTGGGAGGGGGTGGATGTTGTTGATCTGGCGCAGCATAGGGATGGTGATGGGGGAGGAAGAGGAAATGGGGGTCAGGAAGGAATGGGAGAGGGGAATAGTAATAGTTTGAGTCCCGAGGAGGAGGAATATGTTAGGCTGTATGGGGATTTACTGGCGGCGTATAAGGGGAGGTGGACTGATGTTGATTTGACGGGGAGTTTGGAGCCACCGAGGGATTTGTTTATTGATGTTAGAGTTTTGAAGGATGCGGGGGAGATACAGACCGAGTATGGGTTAGTTGTGTCCTTTTTTGTTTCCTTCCACCCCACACATCCACGCTCTTGGATATGTATGGGGCGTAGTTGTCTGGGGGAATGAAATGGGCGTTGGAGACGAGGACGAGATACTAATTGCATACAGGACAATTAATCTAACCAAGAATTCACAATTCTATGTTCGACAGGGAGACGTGGAACGCCTGATTGCGCAAGGGTACCTGCAAAAGCTCAGCTGAGTACGCAAAGCGAAAGGCACCATAGCATGTCCTACACGAGAGCGACTTGGGTCATCAAGAATAGAAGGGGGCGCGTTGAAGGGAAGAGGAGAAGCATGCAGGTTCCAATACTTGATACCCTGTCCTCTAGAAACATTCATCTATGACCAGCATGTCATCCGGATATACAACATCTACATAGAGAAGAGGGGCCTTGTCGTCGGAACTTGAAGCCGCGAGCGATCCTCGTGGGGTGTTGAAAGAGAATTGGAACCCCTGGTGGAGCTCAATTGGTTCAAACCCGCACTGGAGACCATTCAATGCACGTGTGGATCGTGTTGGTGAAAACTCTATGTCACGGAAAGCGGGAGGCGGGTCTGTTCTCTTGATATAATTCCGAGCTCTCCATTTCTCGAAAATTGGTCATGGAGACAGTACGAGTAGAAGACTGGAATGGTATCATTTGAAGGATTTTTCTGTTGTGCATACATGCATGGGAGTCTCGACTTTGTCTATTTCGTACCACCAGCAATTGAAAAAAAAATAGATGGACAGAGAATGACGATTTTTCAGCAAATCATGAGAGCAGCAGAGAATACGGGAGCGAATGAACGTTGAACCACAAGCTAGATTCTAAGGAACATGGTTTCAATTGCATGGTGCGGGGCCGTCCAACACGTCAACTTTTCCCCCTTGTCTTGTTCGTTCCCAAATACAAATGCGTAGGAGGGAATTAACGTGGAGACGGTTGTATCGAGTACCTAATATCTCGCTTGTTTTTGAGGGGCGAGACGAGGGGGTTCTGTCTATGCTGTGTAAGTCTCGGTCCAATGTGACTCGGATGAGTTTCCCAGTCCGGTCTGCAGACTTCGGAAATGATTCAATCGGGACACGTTTCGAGAGGAGATTTCATATAAGGCTGCATGTTATACTCTCGATAGACTTGATTGGTGTTTTATTCTGATGGTGAGGGGGCGTGGTATGATGGATGTTGCTGTGTTTGATTGGGTGAAGAGCAAGAGGATGCCCTGTTGGTCTTCGGCGCGTCGCCGGAGGGGTGGGCTTGCGGAGAAATCTTGATGAGGCTTGCAGACTGGATTGGATTGGTCCACTGACAATACCAGGCAGGGTATGTGGAAAATTCACATTTGTGGTTTGGATTTGAGCTGGGATGGAAAATGTGATAGAAAAGCAAGGGAGATGTGATTTTGTGTTGTGGGGATGGCTCTGTGGGCCATTTTGTACCTGTGATCTATCACCTAATGAAAACGGCGGATGAGAACATTGCGACGATGAAATACGTAGGAATTGTAGTTGATGGCGTGCCTGTCGTAGACCTGAGGTGGTGGATATGGTGGATATGGTGGATGTGGTGGATGTGGTGGATGTGGTGGATGTGATAGATGTCGGGTGTGACGAATGGCGGATGGCAATGCGTCGGGTGGCCCTGGACGCCTCATCAGCAGGAGGATGCATATCTTGAAAATCTGGATCATGGATGCGGCTGTGGCGGGGCTACAGTCGTTGCTACCTTGTTTCCCCTCCTCTGACCCTGGGCTTTACGTTACCTCCTACTCATGGGCACCTCAGTCCTTCTCCATCATCGCCAACGTTCACCAGCCTCTGGGGAGAGTGACTTGGAGAGCGATTAACCTTCCGCTGACCGTTGGACCCTTCCGAGAAGAAACGTGCCCTACCCGTTTTCCACCTGGGCACTACGGAGGTACACCAGCTGGCACTTGGGATCGCGGCCCACCAATAGCATCGCATCATGGACGCTCACCGGCTTTTGCTCTTCCAACCTTCTGTCTTTCTGCTTCTGCCCTTCTGACTTGGTGGCCGAGCCAACTCTGCTAACTCTGGTGCTAGTACTAGTACTAGTACCATGACCTACTCGGGTACTAGTGAAGGAGATATGGGTTGCCTGAAGATCTGCTTAGAGTGCACTTGCCGGACTACTCGTAGACCGCATTTCAAGTGGAGACTGCGATGTCCTGAGTCCTGCACCTCCGCTGCACTAAATGCTCCTTAGTTCCAGCTTGCTTGGAAGCAGAGGCATTTCCAGGTTGTGGTGCACTTTGAGCAGACCTACTTACACCCCAGCCCCTGGCCCCAGAGACGAGAGAGTTTGCCTCCATCTGCGGAACTTACTGTAGGTAGATACTTATTATAGAGGACACCCTCAAGGTACTCCGTACCCGTACTGAAACCTGCTTGGGTGTATTTCCCATTCACTCTCCCTCTGCCACACTCGTTCAAGACCCCCCTTTCTCTACTATTGTATGCTCTATGCTCTACTACTATTCCACCGTCACATCTCCGGCTTCATCTAATGCCGTCAGTATCATACTGTAATCGCGTCATACGGCTTAGCACCTAGTCTTTGCAAGGGCCCCTAGTGGACGGCTCTCGGTCCCAGCAATAATTCAACGGATCGTCACTTTTTTTGCGTCTCCAACATTTCTACCTACTCATACTCGAGTACAATTCCAATTTACACACCCGAACCTTTTCATAATTGAGAGCTGCGCGTTCCTCGACTGATCTCGACGTGGACGTGGTTAGAGGTCGCCATGTCTCTGCCAGCCCACAATCCGGGCTCCTTTCGAAGAGGGCGGGCATCTTCAACCAGCTCTCACTCCAACCCAAGGATCATTCCAGGCGCCTCGACCAATAATGCTTCTGCTTCTGCTTCTGCTTCCCACGCCCATCATGGCTCTTTCCGCTCTTTCGACACCCATTTATCTGCAGTTTTCAATCCATTGAGTGCATCCGGCCCTAGAGAACCAACCCGCTCTTCTCTTCACATGCTCTCTTATCGCGCCCCGATAGGTAAGTTGGTTCTGTGATATTATCAACCATTGCTAACACCTCAACAGCTCCCATTGACACTGCCCAGTATGCTCATAGCGTACGAGAAGATACGGCCGAGCTTGCATCTTATGCTCTCTCCGATAGAGGCTCCATTCGTAGTGCTTCCCCGCCTCCTTCACGCCGAAGCATACAGACCAACCTCGATACCTACCTTGATAGCATACCCAAACACAACTCCTCCACGAATCTAGAAAATCTATCGCACCAAGAAACTATACCCGAAGTATCAGAACCGCCATCTTCAGAAAATGGCGGTTCGCCTAGCAATCGCTCCAGCAGTTCTACCCTCACGGAGATGTTGAGGCGGTCCCCACCAAGCACCTCACCAACAAACAATGAGTCTCAAAGCAAGGGATCTCCCAGCAAGAAAGGAAAAAGTACGAACGGAGGGACCGTGGAGCCAGACCAAAGAAGACTGATATTAACATCAGATGGTGTTGTGGATGATGAACGAACACCGCTATTGCCAAGGAAACCCAAACAAATTAAACCCAAACCCCACCCAGATTATATAGGGGGCGAAGACGATCTTGAGCAGCAAGTCGTGAGAAGGGTTCCCTCATGGCCCAAACTACGGAATGTTGTACTGTGGCCCCGAGCGCGGGGGATGGATATTGCCCGTACTATAGCCAACCCCAAGAGCTGGGACAGGGAGGCTATTTGGAAGAACGCCGTACTTGCGCCCACCGCGTGTCTTCCAGCTGTGGTTCTTGGAATATTACTCACCATCTTGGATGCCTTGTCATATGGTATGTATTCGAATTTTTATTAGGTCATGTGCAGGGCTGTGCGAAGGAAATGCTTGTGTACGGGACACTCAATTCGCGATACTAACTTGAATTTTCCAGGTATGATCTTGTTCCCTCTAGGTCAACCACTATTCGAGAAGTTGGGCTCAGCTGGTATATCCATGTTTTACGTCAGTTGTATTGTATCGCAACTGATCTTTTCATGTGGTGGAAGTGGCTTCAAAGGAGGAATTGGTTCCGAGATGGTTTGTTGGCTAGTATTTTCAATTAGGATATTGCAGTACTAATTCTATTGTCGCACAGATCGAGGTGGTACCGTTTTTTCATAAAATGGCTATTACTATCATGACTAGAGTTGGCGAAGAAAACCCTCAGGCTGTCATTGCAACCACAATTACCTCATACGCGATCAGCTCTATCATCACCGGTCTTGTCTTTTTCTCCATGGGATACTTTCGCTTTGGTTATCTCGTGGGCTTTATTCCCAGACATATTCTAACAGGCTGCATTGGTGGCGTTGGCTGGTTCCTTATCGCTACAGGGATTGAAGTGTCTGCTCGTATGGAGGGCGAGTTCGTTTATAGCTTTGCCACGCTTCACAAAATGTTCCAATCTGACACTGTAGCTCTATGGGTCATACCACTCGCTCTTGCAGTGATCCTATTTCGACTTCAGCACATATGGAAAAGCCGATACCTTCTTCCGGCGTATATCTTGTGCATTCCTGCCATATTCTACTTCTTTACGTTCTCACTTGATCAATTAGATATGGACAATCTGACTCGCGATGGTTGGATTTTTCAAGGTCCGGAATCAGGAGAACCCTGGTGGTACTTTTACACATTATACGGCATGCCACCTCATTCTATGAAATTTTTTATTACAACTAATCATGCTAGACTTTAAACTTGTTCACTGGGGAGCAATTGGGGAGACCATACCTGCAATGATGGCCCTCACTTTCTTCGGCCTTTTGCATGTTCCTATCAATGTGCCATCCCTGGCTTTCACTATAAACGACGACAATATAAACCTTGATAACGAGCTCATCGCCCACGGATTATCCAATGCTATCTCTGGTGGCTTAGGAAGCATTCAAAATTACTTGGTATACGCCAATAGTGTGCTTTTCTATCGAAGTGGCGGTGACAGTCGCCTGGCAGGAATCATGCTTGCTATTGGGACCATGGGAGTTCTAGTCATAGGGCCAAAAATCATAGGTTTTATTCCAGTCATGATGGTCGGAACTCTGATCTATATTCTTGGGTTTGAGTTATTTGTCGAAGCCATGTGGGATACAAGAAAGAAACTTGGAGCTCTTGAGTACTTCACCGTGAGTCTATATACGACTGCTAATCTTACATTGTGTTCTTCATGCTGACAGCTTTTCAGGTATCCGTTATTGTCCTCGTCATGGGTACTTACGATTTCGTCGTTGGCATATTCGTGGGAGTTGCACTGGCCATGTTGTCACTTACGATACAGACCTCAAATATTCCCGCCATTAGAGCGTCTTACTCTGGCGAAATTGCTGGATCTACTGTGCGGAGGAATCCCACTCAAACCTGTTATCTTCGCAAGACTGGACAGCAAGTTCACGTCACTAAGCTTGCTGGTTATCTTTTCTTCGGTACAATTGGCAGTGTCGAAGATCGCATCCGAGCGCTGATTGAAGAGGACGCCTTCAAGAAACGACCAATTCGATTCTTAGTGTTGGACCTGTACCACGTTACTGGAATCGATTATTCTGCAGCTGAAGCCTTCAATCGACTAAATCGCATTTTCAGTATGAAAGGGGTCACTCTACTCATGAGTGGCGTGGTAACTGGAGGTCCTCTGGCTATAACCTTGGCCAACATTGGACTTGGTTCAGAGGGTAATGAGGTCAAATTCTTTGAAGACCTTAATTCTGCGTTGGAAAGCTGCGAAAATGAGTTATTAAAGACCCTCTATTCCAGCAAGGCGGCACGAAGCACCAGGAATCCTCCTGCAAATGTCGAAGTTCCAGGTCAGGTGCCGCCGGCCGAGCATTCGATCGATGTACAATTCAGTTCACCCAGGCGCAACCAACTTCAAGTAGCGGCTACCATGACTCTCGACGATAGTCCAGGAGAGAATCGATACGCCAATTTCAAAGAACCTCTCCGTCTCATCCTCCAAACCTTTCAAGGACTTACCGACAAGAATGAAGATTTCTGGTTCCGCGTGATCCCCTTCTTCACCAAGAAGGAATATATCGCCGGTACCGTCCTCTACCATTCAGGTGAAGTTGCAAATGGATTTTACCTCCTTCAAGAAGGTATTCTACGCGCGGACTACGATCTTCCCCAGGGCAAATACTTTGAGAGTATTGTTGCTGGTACGACGTGTGGAGAGTTACCCTTCTTCTCTGACACCGATCGGACAGCGACGGTACAGGCAGAGCGGGATTGCGTGTGTTGGGTCATGGATCGGGAAAATTGGGAGAAGTTGCAGAAGGCAGACCAGGAGGTTGTGCAGGAGTTATTGAGAATTGGTCTTAAGTTGACGAGTGAAAGGATGAGTGCGATTACTTCTTATGTTTTGACCACTGCTGGTTAAGACTTGGAGTAATTGGCTAGGAAGAAAGATGCATTTATGAAGGGATGAGAAGGTGTTTGTAAAAGGGCATTGGGTACATACTTGTTGTTTTTGCATGGGATTTGGGATTCTTTGATTTGTAGGCGGGTGGCTGGATTGATTTGCATTGCATTATGGGTGCGTTGGTGCTTAGGAGTTCTCTTTTTCTCTTCTCGTTACTGACTGGCTTGTTAATCTCGATTTTTGACCAGTTGGACTTGAACAAAATGGGACAGACAGCATTACATAGATGGGAAGGTTGGGAAAAAGTTCTTGCTATCTTATTTTAGGAACTGGATAACCTTTTATCTGGTCTATTAATTGGAGTGTGGACCGTGTTATTTTCAATTTCTCCTCGGGGGTTCTTTTCTTTGTAAATAAATGCCCTTTTTAAAGTACGTTGGATAAGTCGGCGCAAGAGGTCTATTGATATTTACTACATAATGTAAAATGTGAGTGATATTTGAAGAGTTTATTACTTTCTCGCATCATCTATGGTTTAATAATGGTTAGGTACATTTTGTAATAAGCTGAGAATACTGGATCATGAAATTGCAAACTCACGACTTGCGTAGGTATCATCCTGAGCAGTCAATGGAAGTCATGAAAGGTAAAAAAGGTTCTCCGAGGTCGGTCCGAATCGTTATCAGTGTACTCGGCCACGCCAGCCCACTTTGTCGTGTCCTACTCGAACAACAGCTTGCAAAAGCAAAAACATCACCCAAAAACAATCAATTGGTTCAAAATGAAGCGTGTCCGAGCTGTCCAAAGCTTCAGCGAAGCAATTGCTATCCGCAACCAGCTTCCACGCCACTCCCGCCTCCTCTCCACAGCTATCATCGCTCGAACTGCAACCCCGCAATCCACACCGCAACCTTCCCCATCGTCTCGATTTCCAAGCCGTACTACCACCACAGCTCTGCGACATGTCTCTACCGCTCCCGCAGCCACCGAGACTCTACAGAAGACCCCTCTGTACGATCTTCATGTCGCCCATGGCGGGAAGATGGTCCCGTTTGGTGGTTTTCACATGCCGGTCCAATATGATTCCCTAAGCGTTAGCGCTTCTCACCATTTCACACGTTCTCATGCTTCCCTCTTCGATGTTTCGCACATGGTCCAACATCATTTTACTGGTTCTGATGCGCAGAAGTTCTTGGAGAGGATTACACCTGCTGGTTTGGAAGAATTGGGGGTTCACAGAAGCACATTGAGCACATTACTCTTACCAGGCACGGGAGGAATTGTGGATGATACCATCATTACGAAGCTAGGAGAAGAGGCTTTCTACGTGGTCACCAATGCAGGATGTCGGGAGAAGGATTTGAAATATTTCAATGAGCAGTTGGAAGAGTTTAAAAAGGATGGGAACAAGGGCGTGGAATGGCAAGTCATGGATGGATGGGGATTGGTAGCTCTCCAAGGTCCTTTGAGCGAAGCGATCCTCACCCACATCCTCGCCGAACCAAAAGATTACAAGTTCGGGGACGTGACAAATCTGAAGGAATTATACTTTGGCGAGTCGGCATTTATCCAGATCAAACTTCATACCGGAGAACTTTCTCTTCCCCTTCTTGTAAGCCGAGGAGGCTACACTGGCGAAGATGGGTTCGAAATCTCCATCTCCCCTGAACAAACAGTCGTCGTCACACAGACACTCCTCAGATCCGCCGGACCCGAGAACCTCCAACTCGCTGGTCTGGGAGCAAGAGATAGTCTCCGTCTCGAAGCAGGAATGTGTCTCTACGGCCACGACCTGGACGAGTCTGTCACCCCCGTTGAAGCAGCTCTCAGCTGGATTATCGGAAAATCACGCAAATCCCAAACTCCTCCCACCTTCCATGGCGCATCAACCATCCTCTCAAAGCTCACACCCAAGAGTAAAGGAGGGCAGGGAGTAGAACGCCGTCGTATCGGGTTGGTGGTCAAAGGTGTTCCTGCGAGAGAAGGCGCGGTTATTTTGAATACGGAGGGAGAGAAGATCGGGAATGTGACGAGCGGATGTCCTAGTCCCAGTTTGGGCAAGAATATTGCTATGGGGTACATTAAGGACGGGTTTCATAAGTCTGGGACGGAGGTTGAAGTTGTTGTTAGGGGGAAGAAGAGGAAGGCCGTTGTTGCTAAGATGCCATTTGTTGCCAGTAAGTATTGGAAGCGGCCTTGAAGGGGCGGTTTTTAGATTCTTTTCTAGGTACAAATGATTGGGCGGATAGAGTGCATACCTTTTATGGTGTTTGGGTCAAGAAAAGGTCCGTCCATTTTTCAACAAAAATAGATGTGTGATGGGCGTTTGGGTAAAAGCATCTTTGAGATTCTTTTAGGGATTGAGAACGGGACTTGAAATCAAGAAATTTGTCTAGGACATGGGCAGTTCCTTCAATGATGATTAGATTTTGATCACAAATGCCTAGTCCCAGTTCTTCGTATAGACGAATTGGATTAGCAAGACTATTAACATGAATACTTGTGAACTTCAACTGGCTCCCTAATATCCACACAAATTCCACAAGTTTGAGACGGTTAAATTTCCACGCCTCACCCATAACCTAATCCTCAACATCCCTCGGATCATGCTTCTCCCAATAAGCCTCATAATCCTCATCCGACTGAGTCGCAAACTCCGTCGGTCTAGTCATCGGCTCAAACGGCACACCCCGATCCTTGAACTCCTGCATCCTCTTCTTCGTCGCGGGTTTCGAAGTATTCACGCTGTACACCTTGATGCGATGACAACTACTCGTCACATGCAGGCCCCAATTCCACGCACTCCGCACATACGTCGGTTGGGTATTAAGCGAGTTATCCCAACACCTGACGACGAGTTCCAACCACCCCTCCGCATCGACGGGGACATCGATATGCCACGTTCTCCATGCGAACTTGTGTTTCTTCGATAGGTTCTCGACGGGCACGGGATACCATACGAATCCCCCATCGGGACTCACCTCCACGCGTTCGGGCCATCTCCCACCGCCGGAGTAGGCCCATCCTTTCACATTCATGGTTCCATCATGAATAACGACGTCTTTCGTCCAGGGTGACATGATGGCACTACTCACGGGCATCTGTTGGATTTGGATCCCCTGCGTGTAGGATTCATTGTGCTTCCCGACCTGGCCGTTGAAATAGAGGTATTCCTTCGATTGGACGGGTGCTCGAGAGGGGGACTTGAGAGCTTTGATCCGATAGAGCCATTTCACGGAGCGGGCGCCGATGTAGCCTAGGACCACGACGCGCAGAGGGTAGCCGTGGATCTTGGGGAGGGGCTCGCCGTTCATTTCCCAGGCGAGCAGGACTTCGTTGGCTTTTACTTTGGACCAGGGGACTGAGACGAGGTAGTTTTGTAGTGTTTCCTGAGCGGGGTGTTAGTTTGTGCTAGGGAAGGAAGGGGGGAGACTTACGTGTTTGAAATATGTATCTGCTCCGTAGAATTCAAGGTGTTTGGCTCCCTCGGCTAATCCACCACAATACTTGATGACTTTTTTCAGACTGACTCCTGTCCATCGAGCTGTTCCAATTGCGCCTTCAGCCCATGGAGCATTGATCATTTCATCTCCCTCTCCCGCATACTCGGCAATTTGCTCGATTCTTCTCGTGCCACTGCATTGGATGGTAACGAGATTTGATTGCCGAGGGAACAACTCTTCATTCTGGAGATCTGCCAGAGTCAGAGTCTTGGGGTTCTTGACCAGTCCGTCGATTTCAAGGGTCAGTTTGTCGGCGTCGATATCGGGAATTCCACCATGATTTCGGACAAAGTGCAGTGGGTTGGGAGTCACAGGTTCCAAAGTCGTCAGACTCTGTTCATTTATTAGTTCACAACTTGTAAACATGAATACTCGACTTCAAAAGGATGAAATAAATACCTTTGGTGACTCCCCATTATAAGGAAACTGCAACAGATGCAAAAAATCCCCATGTTTCTCCTCAAGCACCCTCTTCCAACTCTCCTCCGGGATATACTCCAGCGGTCCCCCGAGGGCCTTATGCCACAACTTCCACCGCACGCCCTCCAGCACGGGATTCGAATCGGGAATGGGACCGAGCTGGAATTCCGGCGGGGGAGGGAACTTGAAATTCGCCATGACGGCCGCGGCCTTGGCTTTCTTCTCGGGATACTTTTCCCACTCGATGTACCCGCGCCATCCCTCCTTCTCGTCGGCGAAGTCGACGTTGGGGTTCACGCCGCATGCGGCATTGACGGAGGCGTGGCGTAGTTGGATTGTTTCGGCGGTGTCGTAGGAGGAGCCTGCGTCGGGGATGCGGGGGGCGAGGCCTTGTTCGAGTTTCCATTCATCGGCACGCTGAAGGGTGTGTTAGTTGGTGTTCGATGGTTTGGGATGGGAAGGTCGCTTACGGCTCGCTTGGGATGCGCGGCGGGTTCCATGTTGGCAAATCCTGTAGAAATCAAATACCTAGGTAGGTAAGTGTAAAAGTGCGTAAAAACAGCAAGTTTCCAGAAAGATTGGAAAAGATTGGGAATTGGGGGGTATAAAACGTTTTCGACATCCCAATGGGAAAAAGGAGGGGCTTGTATACCTGGTCCTCTGACGTACCAACATATTCAGTTCGTCGAGGCGAAAAGGAGGGGCAGAGTGGGGACTCAGCAGGGCCGAGAGGGTGATGGGATATGCATGCACTGGGGTTACTAACCACCGAGAATTCATGATCTAGATGGTGGACCGCTACACGACACGAGTTGGATCAACTACCTAGGTAGGTACTTACCGAATACATAATTTATTGATAGGCCTGATCGGGCGAGATACGCAGAGTAATTGGATTATTAACCCCATTGCATTGCATTTCTCCAATACACAATGGACACAATGGCTTCCCAAGATCGGGTACAGGAGGGGGAGAAGCATTACTAACAAATCCATTTGTTACCCGTCGATCTATGCTACGATGAAACCTCGATATTTGGTATATAATTCAGGCGAGAAATTATACGGATTATTCCGGATAAAGTTCTGTGAGATTTCTTCGAAGTCTCATGGGCCATGGCAACCTCGAATACTTCGTGATGTCACTATGTTAGTCATGTATTAACCCTAGTTATGCATGTATAGTACAATGACATTGTACCACATTTGGGCACCCGATATTGGATCTTACAGGTGTCACCCGGGTTAGAAACGTTGGACGAGACTTGAGATCTTCGCAAGACAACGTGATATCGACTATCAAAGATAGCATCATAGCCACAACTTGTATAAAGATAAGGAAGATAAGTTAGATAACTCGATTTCCTTTGTAAGAACACCGCCAGCATCATGATGATGTATGATACTTCAGCCATGAAGGCAGTAGTATTGTGTTATAATCTTACAGTACTTGGCTGATGAAATATTTGCATGATCATGAAAAGCGTCACCGGACTGTACCAAGTAGGTAGCACCCGTCTAGCTCTTGCTCCAGGATGCTTGACAGGCTTGCAACACTTGGATAGACTCGCAATCGACAAAACAAGAAAGATAGCAAGCTTCATTTAAACAAGTGATCTAGCTGCCTGGGCTAATCGAAATTCCTGGGTAATTAAGCTAAGAAAACCACTGAGTAAACTCAAGAAAGCAAAAGAATGACAGAGAAATTCATGGCCAATTTCATTGTCCATTGATAGATAGGTGATGACTGCTAGTACACACATGGCTTTTCCTAGGTAGAAAGCAATCGTCCTAACTTGACAAGTGCAATAACACCTCACGAGAAAAGTGGATGAGAGAAGCAACATATATAGGTACCTAGGTATATAAGAAGGAAGGATAAAGCCCAAGTAGCATGAACGCAATTAGCGCATACCTAATAATGGTAGATCTCCGAACGATTAATGAAGATGGTTCGCTGAATTGGGGGGTTGAGAAGTTCTTTACCTAGGTATAACAAAAACAACCTACCTGTAACCACGTCCCTTTTGCCATTTGGACTGCAAGGGTTGTTGCAAGTCGTACTGAGAAGGTCGTCTTCCCCCGTGAAAGTGTCTTTAGCTAAACCAAGTGCACCTGAGACCCTCCAAAAAAACACTCAAGTTGCGCTTGCAATGAACCTAGGTAGATAGGTAGGTAGGTACCTACCTAGTGGTGGTAGGTGCCTCGCTACTAGCTAGGCGAGTCTGGTTGCCGCCCATGATCCAGGTTTTCGACCTCGAAAAAGTTTGTGTGTGGGAGGAAAGAGGAAAAGAGGGGGGGGGTTATACTCGAGAGCACAGGGCCCGTGCGTCTCAAGACGGGACGGGATGGATGTTGATCTTTGAAGGACCTCGACCTCAGGAGCGAATTCAGACGTGGTCGGGTTGACCTAAGGTAAGGTACCTACAATCATGCAGGTGTCGGGAGGGAAGGAGCGACCTCGACAGCTCCGTCTCAGGCCTCGACATAAATCTTGATCTCGCCACACTAGCGCGACAGAGCATGCATTCCAACGAACGGAAGGGGCATTGGGGCAACCTCGAACTTGGTCCTACTCTCACTCGCCCCTAGGAGGCTCATTTCGACCCGGACCCGAAAGTCGAGTCGACGTACACCTACCTATTTAAGGAAGGAACAACCTTGGGTCCAACTCCCGTCTCCCGTCTTTTTCAAACTTGATCCTTAAGCCATTCTATTACGCATATCGAGACTTCCGGGTTCTAGGACTGCAATGCTATTAATCAAATCACACTTTAAGCGAGTCTCGTAATAATATCGACCAACTTATTACGTAGGTACCTAGGTTGTGTGAAGAGATAGATACCAAGTACCTGCAGATATAGGTACAAATACAGCAAGCAACGCGCGGGACTGGAATGTTCTTCAGTATGGAATAGCCGATCAACCCGAAAACCATGCGTCCCTTCTGGTGATTACCAAGTTGTGTTGCCATGTTCAGGTAGGTGTGAACACAATGGAGACGAACAATCTTGCTAAAACATTTCGTCTCGTATATATGAGAGAAGAAAATTACAGATTGGCTGGATTTTGCATTTCATAGGGCGTGGAGAAAGAGGCCACTTGGATTTTCGTGGGCTAATTAAACAACCAAACTTCACAGATTTAATCCAGTGGTCGAAAGGTGCGAGTCTGTGAAAGTGTTGAAATGAACGTGACTTCCAACACTCTGATTTCGTGTGTCTGATCCACTATCACATCCTGTCTATTTCTAACCCTAAAGTTACTAGATTTCTTTTCTATTTCTCAAGTCAAGATCTTAGTAGGCAGTAGTTGGCCAAATGCTTCTCTCACGATTTTATATCAAGGAAGGTTAATTTGACTTTGGCTTTGTTGCATATTGCAGTAGAGACCTCTTTGGATGCGGGGACTGTTTAGTAATAGTAATGTCCTAGTAGATCTAAATTATGAAGTGAGGCGAGGGTCTTCTCGCGATCGTGGAAAACATAGAAAATTGCAGGTGGTGATTGGTTTGGAGCAAGGCCAACTTTATGAGCTCGCTTAAGGTCTTGGCATGGCTCAAGCACAGACCTGACCAAATCCACATCGTCTCACGCCGCTAAAGTATTTTTATAAAACCAGGGGAAAGAGTCGAAAACAGTTTCTTGTATATATCAAGTCATCTATGCGACTTAGAATGTCCTTCTGAACCAATCATGCAGCAGCTAGGTAGTTTCTCCACGGGCTTTCCAGCATGTGAAGAATATGCCCAGTCTCAATTGATAGTCTTCTCGCGAGCCAGGGAAATTTTGACAGTGACAAACGCCGAGGCAGTATATTTTTTGCTAAGGAGGGGATTCGAAGAGCTAGAGGTAGATTAGCCAGATGTCAGGACGGGCGACCATATCGAGCGCAAAGGGTTTAAATGTTTCAAGATGCGTCTGCGAGCACCCAAGGTGAAAGATTAGCAAAGAAATGACCTTGTCATAGAGACCGGATTTTGAGACTGAGTAATGCGCATAATGCACGTATCCACTGAAGTTATTTGTGCTGTAGCGCTTGTTGCGGGTGTACAAGTTGGTATGGCAACGTAGGCGCAAAAGCGTTCTTGATATCCGCGGACCGGTCTTGATATCAAAAGACTAGTCTGATGTCGGGGCTAGCCAATCAAACGACTGTCAAAACCTCGATGTGGGGACCCTCTTGTTTTGTTGCACGTCGCACTGCGAATGTCGTTGGAATTGGCCAATGAGAGGAACCGTGGACGTCGCTAATCTCTATCATTGCAAGGGTATTCACCCCGTGGTGGCGTTTGAGCTAAGGATGACATAGATGGCATTATAGTGAATATATTCCTTTCAAATTCACTGTCGGATCCAGGCTGAGCTGGAAGAGTTGCCTGTTTCCTTTTCCGCTGCTCGCTTAGCTACCGTACGTCGCGAAGTGAAGACCATTCACTATCTTCAAAATACCGAGGTACAATGGACCGCATATTCAGAAAGCTTCCCATGCAATCAGGGATACTGGGTATCTTGTCCTATTTCGCAAAGGTCTCCTACGGTAATATCAACTTGAATCCACTCTACGAGGTCGTCAGGGCTCAAGCCAACATAATATCTCCAAAGACAGGCGAAAGATTAATCATTTGAATGATTACAGTCCTTCCGATACTCCACCTGAGGTGAACTGAAACTCTCGTGCATTTGTGTATATCGTTAATCTTGCGCCACATGATCGAAATAGCGCTTCCATCAGCCCGACCCCGAAGCCTCTGAATACCCAACATCCCATATTCCATCCCCAGTCTGTCTGTCACTCACAAACGTATCCAAAAACAGCGACATATTCTGCATATCCGTATTCCTGATCCCAAATCCATTATCACTAAACGGAAACCCCAATTCCCCCACAAAATTATATCCCGGAACACCGTTATCAACGGGGGGAAATGTAAAAGAATTATCCTGAGCATCGAATGACCCAAAGGAAGCTTGTTGCGATTTGTTGAATGCTTTGGCGACTTGTAGAAAGACGCTGCAGACTTGGTGGAGGCGAGCACCTGCTTCGGAGATCGCTCTTGCAGGTTCGAGGGAGAGGAGTGTTTGCGTCATTAATTCGATGTCTTCCTGGCTGCGGGATGCAATGGAGTGGGTGAAGATTACTAGAAATGGCGTAAATGGAAGGTAAAGAACAACCCTGGAAGGTAAAGAACAACCCTATTGACAACTGGTCAGAGATCTCGCACTGAAGAGAGGAATACTGGAAAGGGACTCAGCTACGAACCAGTCAACATAGAATTTTGATCTCATAGCCTCACTAGAAGGGAATGGAAATAGCGAAGAGTTCTTTATATGGCATTGCAGGCTTGACTTGGCTGCTTCGAACTGTCGAGAATTAATTTGCGTGGTTACTGAGAGAGTGTTTTTGGCCCCGTATAGCAATGTCAAAGAGGAGTAGTAAACAAGATCGAATGCACGGATGATAATTTCCAAGTCTTCTTTGTACACCGATTTGGTAGTATCAATCTGATTGGATTGTCAACAACATACCTATGACGATGAGGGATGTCATACCTTCTTGATTTCAATGAGCGAGCTTGAAAGTGCTGTATGAAGCACTTCAATCATCTGAGATTTGCTGTCAGGAAGTGCGTTCTGAGCTCGCACAGAATATAGTTCATCGTATATCCGCCCCATGACCCGGGAGATTTCAATGATTTGACACCAGACAAGATCCCATGGTCGAGTTATAAGGTTTTCAGTTAGGGTGAACATATCGGCATCAATATCGTGGTCTGGAAAACTAGACACACGTCCAAGATTGAGAGTTTGAGCCTTATCCATCATATATAGTACCCAAAAAGCATGCCGTTTCACTTCAGCATGTGGGTCTCGAGCCAGTACCTCCTTACGATGATATCCTAGGATTAAACATAGACGTGCTCCGACGGCAACAAGAGTCCAACATGGAGACGGACGAGACTCCTCTTGTGCTCTCATAGCCTAGATTTAGGTCAGTGACTGCCACGAACACTGAGAGAAAAGTGAATGGTGATACTGGATAATAGTTAAACGTACCCCGAACATTAAGCATTCTAAAAACCCAGAAAGATTAGTCTTCTTCAATTCTCACAATACAATGGCACCAATGTATGAGGACAAGAATGAACGGTCTCTGCCATCTGGGCGAATAGCGGAGAATGAAGAACAATTTGACTCACGAATATTCTCCAGAGTAGGTGTTGTCATACACTCGTAAGTTTGAAGGCCAGCGCAAAACTTGGTCTGGCATAGCTTGATATATTGTTGGCAATCAGCCGGCGGAAACTCTGGATCATCAGCTGCTAAATACTCTTCCAGCAGATACATCAACATTCCACACATAAGCGTTACATGGCCACTCGGCAGAGGCTTTGTAGGAAAATAGACGGCTTTAGCTAAGTTTTCTAGCGTTGAGTGGTCTCGCTGAGCACTCTGTAACCATGTCAAAGGTGTTTGGGTTAAGCAAGATTAGCTTGGATGATGATGATGAAACTTCACAGTGTTGGTAATTACTCACAACTGCTCCTCTTCAAACATTTCAAAACCAAAGACATGGGGGGTAATTCAACGTCAGCACTAGTAACACCAGTTGGAAATGAGGGGAATGACAAGTCATCTGTTTTTGTGTATTTCCCTTCCCCACCTAACAGGGACTTCAGTGATGATAACGATTCTGAGATCTCTGTAGTTTGATGGCCTGGTTGCGCAACGGAAGCCGATATTTCGGCTTCAGCTGATCGAGTCGCCTGTACCGAGTAGCTGCAAAAAGAGGAGTCTCCCTCAAATACACATTCCTCTGCAACGAAAGTGGAGGCTTTTACAGATGGGACATGGCTTGGTATTGATACATTTGGAGTAGCAGCTTTGCTGAGGTCTCGAAGGGTATTTTTGATGTCCAATAGGTTCTCGTTTATGCGGCTAAAGTGTTTCTCACTTCTTGAGATTAACGACGAGATCCCAGATGAAGCAGGTTTCTGTTACTTACTAGTAGGATGCTGGTGCACTACGCTGCGGCTTGCTCTCTGTGTTTCTTGTTGCAGGCTTGCATGACCTGTCAAGAAGGAGAATTTAGTATACTGACGGCAAGGGATTATTGGTTGTACTTACAAGCTGGCAATCACACAATTTGAGCAAGTTGTGACTTTGTTGCAACGAATCTTTCTGATTCGACAGCTCTCGCACTTTCCAAACACGTCAGAGTTACTTTCAAGAAATCCAATCAGGCTGACATCAACATACTGCTTTGGGGATAAGTGAGGTCCCTTGTCGTAAGTTTACGCTCTCTTTTTCCACACTTTTCGACGAATCTTTGGTGGCAAGTGTGGATGGTTCATTCTCTACACCCTCCATCCGAACAAGTTCTTGGATTTATTCTCAACGAATCAAAAGGCTGTTCTCATAGAAAAAACTAGTTGATACGCGGATTCCACGGGGACCGCAGGCCTAGGTACGTAGCACTGAAAATGCTGGCCAGATGTTGTGTTGAATCGAGCCAAGACAATTGTGTAGGAGGGTTTGAATAGGGATTTTGAGTAGAAGCTACGTTCACATGGCAATTGTAACAGTAACGTTGGAATCGCAAAGCTGTGATGTATCTGTAGGGGTAGTTCACCTCGTCGTCAACCTTGAATATAGTGGGGAAATTGTCCTGCACCGCAGAGTTCCGGCAAGGGAGGCCGCGGAGTCCGCGGAAAGCGAGCGGCCATACCTACCTACTTCATCACCATTTTCTCAATTTACGAGAGGGTTGAAGGCCATCATTTCGTCGACATCCATTCTTTTTGAAGTTGGCCTCAACAAGTCCTGCGTGCTATCTTCAGTACCATGTCCTTTTCGTACTCGCGATCGCTGTAACCACCATGAAAGGTTATCTTTCATGTGTATTCACGTATTCAATCGGCATCCTCCCTCGAACAGGTCTAAGATGGTTAATTAACCACCAAGTTTGAATATCCCATGAGAATGTTCGGTGCGAACTCTGGAGTGGCTTCTGAACAAGAATAAGAAAATAGAAACAGGGGGGACCCCTTCGGCTATATCATTGGTGTAGGACAGGAAAGGGGTGGCTTGCCGCTTTTGTCGTAGGCGGAAAAGTAGCCGCAGGTGCAGGCGCGGTCAATCCATGATCCATCACGACACGATACCTCCAAGTCCGTTCAGCCTCCTGCCCTGTACAAGACCCGACCCAACCCAACACCACACCACACTCCTTTGGCAATTGATTTTGTCTTCAGCTTCGAATTCCTAATACTTCAATCCCAAACTTTCATTCTTGGTCCTTTTTTCTTCACGCTACTTCTCTTGTCACCATCATGGCGCCAATTACCAAGGACAAATACTCCGTCATCCTCCCGACGTATAACGAGCGTCGCAACCTTCCAATCATCACCTGGTTGCTCAATCGTACATTCACAGAGCAGTATGCTTTCTCCATTGCGTCACGAGCATCCCGAGGTCCAAACTAACATTGCGCCGCCCAGAAAGCTCGACTGGGAACTCATCATCGTAGACGATGGCTCACCAGATGGAACCCAAGAAGTGGCCAACCAACTAGCCAAAGCCTACTCTCCCCACGTCCTCCTCAAAGCACGCGCTGGAAAGCTTGGTTTGGGAACCGCATACGTACACGGTCTCCAGTTTGTGACTGGAAACTACGTTATCATCATGGACGCCGATTTCTCACATCACCCCAAATTCATCTCGCAGATGATTGCGAAGCAGAAGACTCTCTCGACAAATGGCGGGTATGATATCGTGACTGGTACTAGATATTCTGGCGACGGAGGCGTCTACGGATGGGACTTGAAGCGGAAATTGGTCTCGAGGGGCGCAAATCTGTTTGCGGATACAGTATTGCGACCGGGGGTCAGTGATTTGACAGGCAGTTTCCGATTGTATAAAAGAGCGGTGTTGCAAAAGGTTATCGAGAGTACGGAGAGTAAGGGATATACTTTCCAAATGGAGATGATGGTACGAGCGAAGGCCATGGGTTGCAGTGTGGCAGAAGTACCAATCTCATTTGTGGATCGCGTTTATGGTGAGAGCAAACTTGGTGGAGATGAAATCGTGGAATACGCGAAGGGTGTTTTGACTTTGTTCATGAAGGTTTGAGGATTGGGGTTTGGGAGGGGTTTGGGAGTTGGGGCCTGGGTACATAATGTGAGGGATCTTTCGGGACACCAACAGGAGTTATAACAGAGCAATGTTTACCCGCAGGCTAGTCGCCGATTTTCATTTGATTTTTCTACGTCTGTATATTGTTGTTTTTTCCATCCACTAAAAGCCTCGCGAATTTTTGATATGAACCTATTCTCTTTTTCTGTCTTGTATAATACAATCAATTGGTATGGAGGCCAAGCGGCTTTGATCTAGCCAGAGAATTTATTGGAGACATCGAGTTAAAGACGGAGTATCACAACTTCTTCTCTCGCGTGACTATTTTTTGGAGTATGCAACCAAAGTTCCACGGTCAATGTGAAAAAAAGCGAGCACAAGCCATTTCTCTTCTACACTAAGAGCAGTTGAAGGCAGTGAGTTTCTTTTATAAACTCCTGTACTAGTGGCACAGGATGCAAATCACAGCTTCACAACCTCGGTAATCTTACTCGGGAGAGGCCATGTCAATCAATATGTCAGCCTTGACCGCTATCACTTCTGTACTGTATCGGGTCGCGGGATAAATGACCTGCTCGGTGCCGATGGCCACTAAGTGCAGTAGCCTCCAAGCGGACCAAATAACTGGCAGTAAATACTCTCTCGTTGTTCTAACTTCCTGGGCTTATTCATGTAATTAAAGCTAGATATTTACTCCAAACATCTAGGGTAATTACTTAATACGATCATTTTAATTTCAAGTATAAAAACTAGGCGGATTTGGGCAATACAGCCTTTTTTTCCCTATCCTCTTTTTTTGCTTATCGAAGTAGTTGGTCCACTACCCTCACATTTTTCAAAACGAATTTCTATTTCTGGGGCAAGTTCATCTATCTGCAAAGTCTTGCTAAATCAGTCTGCATATCTTCAAGGCTATACATGTTGATTTTAGTATTGGTTGTTGGTGCATACTTGAAAGAGGTCCTACACAGTCTTATCCGTACTTGTTCAAATATACAAACCAAACAGTTTGACAGAAGTAGATTCGCTTGCAAAAGCTTGTGCAAAGTGCAAAACTCGAACTTTTGCAAGTCAATTAGACACCTCGCTCAGGTGTGAAAATTCTTTGTTTAGCGTTCGATTGAAGATGATTGAGATTAATAGTTGTCGCGGACTATATATAGTCCGAGGACGGTCCGTTCCGCTCGGACCAGCAACCCCCTTTTAAGGTCTCGCTTAGTTCCCCACGACTCATCATCTGATTTCACGCTTCAAAAGGGATATATTTCGGGTTTCAAAAGTAATTATTATTCTATAAAATTGTATGATTTCTGTCTAAGATGAACCTACCGGGTGTGTGCATATATATATATCTGCGAATGGTCTAAATCAAATCAATATCAATGTAATGAAAGTAGTTGCTTACCTTAACCTCATTATCTATGCCTGATATTACCTGGATGTCGTCTTGAGGAACAAGACTGCTTAATCAGTATTAAGTTCATACAAGGCATTGAATTAATGTTCTGCTGGTGCTTCTGCTTCTGCTGTGTTAGATTGCTCAGAGTCTTACCGATCTTCTTCGGCGTCTAGTTCTTGAGCAGCGACTTCCAGTTGTTGGTCAATATCAGCGTCCATATCGAGGTCTGGTTGACCATCAGCTCGTTGCTCACCAGGCTGTTGTTGGGCTGCTGCTGCTGCTGCTGGCTGTTGGCGCGTGAATATGTCTCTGGCCCTCTCCTGGGCTCTTTCAGCTATTGCTTGGCTCTCGTTCTTTAATTGTATGTTGACGAGCTCCTTTGCTCGTTGCCTGATGGCACCCAAATCCAGACTGTACTTTTCCCTGGCAGTTTTGATCTAATTGTCCACATCGTCTTGTAGCCTTCGTAGATTGCTAAAGTTCCTCTGTGACACTCCAAGGCTACTCGTCCAGGTCCCTCTGGCACGGAGCACCATTCTCATGGCATTCACGTCTCCTCTTCGCTCTCGCCAGATGTAGCCGACCTGTGCCAGCACTCCATATTCGCCTGGTTCCAAGAGGTTCTCAATCGTATCCCGTAAAGCGAAGTTGTTCTCCTCCTTTTTTCTCGAGCCAACGAAGGCGAAGTCTCCCGCGTCGGAGCTCGAGAGCCAGGGCCTCAGCCATTGCGCTGACAGTGTCGAGGGCGGGGGATTCAGTCCCCAAGAGAACACTCAGATCGGCCCAGAGACGTCGAAGCACGGCCAGATCTCGTCTTTGCTCCTCCATCCGCTCTGACAACTCGGTCGTGGTCTCTTCCAGACGCGTCTCCCAACTCGCTATGCGTAGCTTCTGCTCCCTCTGCCACTCAGCACGTTCCTGCTGCAATGCTTCCGGGTCGTTGCGCTCGCCCCAGATATCGGCCAAGGCAGCGGTTGACTCAAAGCGCAGCATTTGTCGCTGTTCGCTCTCGCGTGCCCCATCACGGACGTAGCCGCCGACTTGTATCATGAATGGTTGGCGGTAGGGCAAGTCCGGGGGCAACACACTGGTCAACGAGGGGCCCATTCTGACGGATCCAAAGCCGCCAAAACAGTAGATTTGCCACTGGGTCCGGCAAAAGGGGCATTTCTTTTCGAGCTTGAGGTAGTTTATGATTCAGCGCCGGTGGAACGAATGCTTACGGGAGCAGGGGAGGTGGACGACTTCTTCGTCGGGCATCATGGGCTCGCTACAAATGATACAGTCATCTGGCTCCATTTCGCCGCTGGGCGTGGGCGTAGGCGAAGGTGTAGGCGTGCATGCGACCAACAGACCCGGGAGCACTTGATCGAGGTTGCCATCGGCCAGCTTGCACAGGTCGAGCACATGGAAATCCGCCGTCTGGTTTTGTGGCTAATGTTTGGTGTGGTGTTGTTGAAATTGAATTACCGCCTGCTGATTTGGTCTCGTAAATGTAAGAGTTTGATTTCTTCTGTTTATATCACGAAAGGTCTTGTTCCGTTTGAAGTCTAAGGTAAACGTGCAAAGACTTCACAAAGCATTGTATTCTTATGAAAGAGTAGAAAGAATTCTGTTTTGTCGCTTACCACTACTGTTGGCAGCCCTTCTGCCTCTTTCAGCGATTTACCGCAGCACAGCATTAAAGAAAGTGTCTTCACAATAAAAGTACTTTGTCTCTATCTCAACAATGGATTCTTTCAGCGCACGCCGCACTCCCTGGTCACTCGCTACAGATCGTCTTGTCAAAATGCCATGTCGGAAAGCTATCTTCCAGATCAAACAATTATATGATACTATAAATCTCAATGGTCTCTCTCTTCAAGCATAATGAGGTGAGCGAATACGTTATCAAGTTTGACATTCATAATTACGAAGCCAAAAGAACCCCTTCGCCTTTCAGACTCACTACAGCAAATACTGACGCCGTGTTTCAGCTGAGTTGATCCACTATGCTGACAGTAATATTTTGATATCATTATGGAGACAAACATGCTATTCATATCCAGAGATATCAAAGGTTGCTATACTCGCGGTCTTGGTAACATATTGACCATCCAAAGACCATGAGTGTCAGAACTGCAAACGTAACTACTTGAGGAACAAGTACCCTTTTTGGTCTTAGCGACATTTCTATTCCGGTATTTCTTTGAGCTTCTGCAAGGTTCAGCATTTGTTTTGGTACTCGAAAATTTTCCTTTGTTGTGAGCGAATATAGACAATTTATGAAAGCAGCTCTTCTTTGAAATTTCCTTTATCTCTCGAGGAGAGAAAATTACCTTCTTAGACTATGACTATCACCTGAATTGCAACAACACAATTTACTGGACCAAATAGTCTTATTTCATTTCGCCCTTGCAAGCTCAAGATGGACTCTCAAGGCGAATCATCCAGCGCGAACGCTGCGCCCGCGAACGACACCCAGGACCAAGATGCGCCAGCTACATTACCTACGAGCACTGTCCCCCAATACACGATCGCACCTTCGGTACCAAGAGTAATAAGAAAGAAGGCAAAGGGCAAAAAATCAAAGAAAGACGATGACGAGCAGTTTAGGGGCTTACCAGGATTTTCGGAGGACGAAGAAAGTAGTGACGATGACCTAACGAAAGTGTTGCAATCACTTGAAAGATCTCAAAACCAAGAAATTAGCCCTGGATGTCTTCAAAATCCGGGAATTCCTAGGAGATCTGCTCAACCACACTATACTAAGCACGGCTGGGATTGAGGAAGCTGTCACTCGTCTTTACACCTTGCTGGTCGATCCCACGAGTACCATGCAAGCGGCTGCAGCATTGCAGATTCAGAAATTACTTGATGATACTGAACGAACGGGAACGGGAACGGGAACAGGAGGTGGTGAACCTCGCGAGAGTCCAGCTCCGGGAACGGATGGTGGCGAACCTAGATGGAGTCCAGCTCCAGAAACTCCGGTTATAGATCCAGCAGAAATTCCGCTTCCACCTTCAGTTGCAAGTTCACCTGGTTCTGGTAATTCTACCCTTCCTGCTTATTCAAATCTACTTGGGCCGACCCCAGGTCCAAGTCGTCCTCAATACTCAGGCGAATAAAAATCCTTTGCACCTACCTCAAGGAGGCGGGAATATCAGAGCAAGGTGACTTTTTGTTCTACTAGTTGGGTGTAAACCCTAAATTAAATCTTGGTGGAATCCAGAAAAGTAAAGGAGAGAGAGGTGGAAAAGATAACTAAGATCATTAGACAAATTATATGCTAACTCTCCGCTAGCAGATTTATGGGAAGGCAGTCGTTTCTTCGCCCCTATTGGAAAATTAAAGAAGATGTTTCTTCTGCATTTCAACAGAAGTAACGTTGCACCAGCTGCCCTTGTGATTTTACTACTCAATAACCTTCTATTGTTCTTGCTTCTCCTGTTGGTCTACAGAGACATTTCATCATTCTCGGGACAAAAATCCGCCGCCGATTCTGCGTGGGATTCTGAGCTTTCACATTGGATCAGGGGTATGGGTCCTCGCCCGAACGTGGTTATCTCGATGAATCCAGAATGGGGACCTATGACGGCAGTACCCCAACCAACTGGAGCTGGGTTTTGATCTGCATGCTTTTCAGAGGGTGGCGAGGGTGGATGATGAATATTGGTAATTGTGTTTGTTTTATCTTATGGAGAAATGGTATGTGGAGGTTGATTTGAAGAAACAGAATGGTTTGGTATTGGCTAGTTTGGACATTTCATTGCTAGTTGTTCCACAAGTGTATTGTAAAGTGAAAGAAACGGATGCAAATTATGCATGGAATCCAAATCCATAATTATTTTGTAATTTTGACAAACCGTCTGGCAGATTAGACGTCATCTGCAATTGGAATGTATACTCATCTTTCGTGCAGTAATGAGGGAATGAATGGCAGAGCAAGGTTACATACGAGATACGAGTAACTAAGTCTATATCGTCAATTAACTACGGAAGATCGGATGAGGAGGAGATGATAATCAAAACCGTGCTGAATTATCACATGTTCCTTCCGCCTATAAAATGCAAAGTCAGTAGAGGTCATCAGGAATGTTTGAATAGAGGTCTGAAGGAAAATTCCAAGCTTCTCTTCGCTAAAGCTGAATCCAAGGACGAAATCTATTCAAAAAAGAAATTTGTACTTACCGGTAACCATAATAACTTGACAAGTGATGTAGCTACATAAGGGGCTAGCGAGAGCCAAAATGCTACTAGCTGCCTCCGTTGCAGTTCCAGGTCTCCGCAAAGGAATATCAAGGTTGGCATTTTCAGACTGTGCACCCTGCCCTGTTGGTATACCCAGCGCAATCTTCTCTCCGTCTGGAGTAGTAACAAACGCGCCCTCCTCTTTAGCTGCCGTCAATCTTGTCAAAATATGGCCAAATGCAATCGAGTTACATCGAACTCCAAATTTTGGGCCCCATTCTTTTGCTATGACTTTTGTCAAGCCATTAATCCCAGACTTTGCGAGTCCATAGTTGGCTTGACCTGCGTTTCCGTGCACTCCAGAGGTGGATGATATGTTGATTATTGCGCGGGGTTCTCCATCTGTGACTCGAAAAAATGGTGCAGCTTCTCGGACAAGTTTGAAAGGTGCGGTGTTATGTAAAGCTAGTATGTTGTCCCATTGCTTATCCGTCATCTTGTGGATTACACCATCCCAGGTGTATCTATTTGTGTATTGGTTGTGTCAACATGGGAGCCGGTACTCGATCGATTACATACCCAGCATTATTAACTATTATATGAATCTTTCCATTCCCAAAGTCGGCGGCCTTCTTCACGAGTATTTTCAAATACTCATAATCCAGCATGTCGCCAGCAACCGCTATCGCACTTCCACCAGATTTGTTAATACTTTCGGCGACTGAAGTTGCTTTCGCTATAAAAGTTAGCATAAATTACGTTTTGCCAACCAAAAGATTCTAACCCCCATCGATATCTGACACCACAACTTTGGCGCCTTCATTTGCAAAGAGTCGGGCAGTTTCAGCTCCGATGCCTTGTCCACTACCAGTAATAATCGCTGTCTGACCTATTTCTCTCTCAGTTCTGGAGCTTGCGTCTTTGAGAGACAATTCCTACCGGCAAGTAGTCCTTTTGGATAATTCAGATGTGCTGCGATTTGAGCTACACGTGATGCCATGGTGAAGCTGTATTGCAATATTTTACCAAAAAGCACAGAGAAGTATCAAATTGTAGATAATGTTTGCTATTCTTGAAAAAGGTGCCTGTACGAGTACGGTACTAATAAGACCTGAAAGATGCTCATGGATGGCGGGGAAACGACGTATTGCCGCAGCCGAGGCTCAACCAGTGACGCCGAGTTTTCCTGTCTGGTCCTACAGTAGAATTCATTGGTTACTTTCACGAGACAAGCTAATAAGCAGACCAAGCAGTAATTACTGTGCTTACTGAAACTCCAGTCCAAATCAGCATTAAAATGGTTGTAGTAGGAGTTGATTCTATATTCATACCTTCAAATGTCTTGCGTACAAGTACTGTACCGCCAAACAACCGTCTACTTCGGTAAGCCATTTTCATCCAAGTACTGTGTGCAACTACTCCCAAGTCAACAAAACAGGCCCAAAAATAACCAAACTAGTCTATGTCACAATCGCTGTAGGTCGCAATCGTTCTGGTTCTTTGTGCAAAAACATTAATTGAGGGAAGTTCGGGCAACAGATATAGAAGAAACGAATGCCGGCAAAATGTCACTGGAAAAAGAATGAAATGCGCATCGCATGGTGGTATCACAGATGTTATATTCCTCCCAACCCGCATTCATGGACGTGATCCTGGCTTGCATCCCTCATGAATCCTATGAACGCCGTATTTCCCGAACCCTTAAGCAAAAACTCATAGCGTAACTAGTCGATCATTTTTTGCCGCTCTTCTTGATACCCTGGGAGCCGGTGTTGAGTGGACCTTTCGAGCCTTTCGCTTTCGCAGCCATTTCGGCCTTTGCCTTTGCGTCTTTGGTTGTGGTTAGCAAAAGTGCAATAACATATGGAATGTTGCTAGTCACCAGCTCTTTGCTTCTCGGCGAAAGCCTTGTCTTCTTCGTCCATCTCTCCTTTTGGTGCCTTCTTTGGCTGCTTCAAGGGCTTTGCCTTGCCACCTATTCGTCGGATTAGTGAAAAGCAGAAACGCAGAAACGCAGCGGGAAATCATCCGCTAACCGGCTCTGTCTGCGCCTCCCATTTTGTGGGTTGGTTCGGATGGGGTGTTTTGGTTTGTAGAAGGTCTGGGGCGCTGTATGCGGAAGTGGTTGAAGTCACGGTGGGATGTTTTGGTATCGTGGAGGGGTTGAGGTTTTTTGCTTGCGCATATGAACCTCTCAAGCCTACCTAATCCTTGATGAGGAAAGGAGCCTTAGGTTCTCAGGCAGAAGGCGTCGGCCAATCCTCGGATACGCTACCAACCTCTTTCGGGTCCAAAATGCACGACGCAAAGGAACGGTCCCGTCTCGTCATTGTATCCAACATCAACTTCCGCCTTGTCCACCAACATCGACTAATTACCTTGAACCGAAGACACCACATCATACTCCTACTCGGGATCATGTACTGAAGCATTTGAAGGGGGACGATAGACTCCCGGTTGGGCTCTTCTTACATTGAGATCATTTGTCTGGTGCTTTGGCTAACACAACTTTTCCACGACAAGGCAGGGGTCTACCGTCACCGTCACTCAAGACATTTTGTGAACATGACTTCTCCCGCCAGTTCAGATGAAGGGGAGATTCACGATGGAAGCTTAGAGAAGGCAACTACGATGCAGTCAAAATTCGATGGCACTTCCGTTGACCGTCAAAACAGAAACCGCTCTAGTAACTCAAACTCGCTATCGCCTGAACACAACCACACTCAGAGGTCCAGAGACATGAAGTCACACGAGAGAAGCAGATCGCCATACTCAAATCGAGCACCGAGGGGTTCCAAAAGAACCCGCGATGACGATTATCCAGAGAGGTCTCGCGATCCACGAAGGTTCAAGGTTCACTACGAGGACGGCAACTCGACCGATTATAAGCGGCGGTCCCGCATTTCCTACGAAGACCTCGATCGAGGCCCTTCTGCTTCTTCCGACTTGCGATACGACGATCGAGACAGTTACACTGATAAGCGTCCTCGAACACGCAGTCGCTCTCCCTACAGATCCAGTCGCGGTGGCGACGCATATGGCCGTGGTGGGCAATCCAAAAGAGATACTGAGCGACATGGTAACTCCAATACAAGAGGAAATAGGTCTCAAAATGGACCTTATAACTATGGAGATGTGAGAAATCGGGATATCAAGGACCAGTCAGTGAGCAAACGGGAAAATAGCCCGCTGCCTGCTGGGAATGCAAGACACGAGGCTAAAAATGTGCAAGGAAATTCACAGCGGTCTTCCGACAATGCTTTGGCCAAATTTGAGCTGGAGAAGTAGGTTTTTCCGTATTTCACTCAAACTAGTAATTTACTAACACAATACAAGGGACAGTACTATCAAAGATACGGCCACTGAGTCTCATGAAGAGGAACATCTCGATGAGGCAGCTTTGATCGAGCAAAGACGCAAGCGCCGTGAAGCAATCAAGGCTAAGTATAGAGGAGCTGCCACGCCATTATTGGTACAAGCTTTGCAACTTGGGGACAAAACAGGAGATTCCACACCTGCTCAAGAAGACAGCAATACATCATCAGCTCGATCTGGTAAGCATACTGTATTACCTATCAGCTTCTTTTCTGATGAAAACTCTACAGTTTCTCCTGCGATTTCTATACCTTCCACGCCTATTGAAGCTCAGGACCTTGCTTCTCCTGCGGCTTTTGCTATCAATGACGACCAAGAACTCGCAAATACAAATGGTGTTACCACCTCAAACGATGAGGATGACGGACCCTCTGCTGCAGATTACGACCCAACGGCTGATATGAGAGAAGATAAACAGCGCGATGTTCAAAGGCATTCTGACGAAGTCTCATCTGCAGCGTATGACGAAACCAAAATCACGACTGAGCAAGACGTGCTACTCCCTGTACTCAGCCCGGTAGAAGAAAAGGCTGCCAAGGCGCCCCGTGAGTTTGACATGTTTGCGGAAGACGACGATGATATGTTTGCAGAGGAACCTGTCGCAAATGGACAGCGGCCAATCATTGTTGAGGATGTGGCGAAAGCAGTTCCGATTCCTATGGCTAAGGAACTTGACGTTGGGATGCTTGATAACTGGGATGATATCGAAGGCTATTATAAGATCATACTTGGAGAACTCCTGAATGGAAGATACCACGTGCAAGCAAATCTTGGAAAAGGTATGTTCTCGGGTGTTGTTCGAGCGATGGATGTGACAACAAAAAAGCTGGTTGCTATCAAACTTATCAGGAATAATGAGACGATGTAAGTTTTTACTCACCTGCTTAAAAGGAGGTTGCTGACCTGATGCAGGAGGAAAGCAGGCATGAAGGAAATCGAGATTCTCCAAAAGATTAATGAGGCAGATCCGGATGATAAGAAGCACATGATCCGACTTGAGCGCCATTTCGAGCACAAAGGGCACTTATGCATGGTCTTTGAGAATCTTAGTATCAACTTACGAGAAGTCCTGAAGAAATTTGGAAGGGATGTGGGAATCAACCTTCGCGCTGTTCGGGCTTATGCTCAGCAAATGTTTCTTGGCTTGAGCCTAATGCGCAAATGTAATATCCTCCATGCAGATCTCAAGCCCGATAATATTTTGGTAGGCAATACAATATGAATTGTATCTGATTTCATACGCTGACTATAAATAGGTCAATGAATCACGCAACATGCTCAAAATCTGCGATTTAGGATCAGCTTCTGATGCATCAGAGAATGAAATCACGCCATACCTTGTTAGCAGATTCTATCGCGCACCAGAAATCATTCTCGGTATGCCATATGATTTTGCAATTGACATTTGGTCGGTTGGATGCACACTTTATGAGCTCTATACTGGTAAGATTCTATTTACGGGACGAACCAATAATCAGATGCTCCGATCCATCATGGATTGTCGGGGCAAATTCACAACGAAAATGCTCAAGCGGTCTGAGTTCGCTCACATCCACTTTGATGAGCTGGCCAATTTTAGAAGCGTTGAACAAGATAAGCTTACTGGAAAGGTATGTACCATTCAACTGATATTATAAGGAAGGTCGAGCCGTTACGTGGGCGCGTGCCACAAAACAGGACAGACTCTACTCCACATACGTGCCCCCAACGTGACCTTCCCCGCTCGAATTCCCCAAATAGCCAAAGCCACCTTTCTGACATATTTCTCCGAGTAGGACACCATTAAGACCCTATCGTTCGCCAAACCATCCCGCGATCTTCGAACCCGTCTTATGTCCGCCTCAAAGGGCCTGACAGAGGTTGAGGCAAAGGAGTTGACTCTTTTTGCCGATTTACTAGATCGGTGTTTGGCACTCAATCCAGAGAAGAGGTGCACGCCAGCGGAAGCTCTAAAACATCCTTTTATTCTCCGGACTCTGAGATGAGGTGAACCAGGCGAAGTAATTATAGCAGCGTTGTCATATGCATAGCAATGTGGTAGATAGTAGGGCGCGCCATAGGTGCACAGCTCAACGATATCCCGTTCGATGGGCTGGTAGATAGCTTTAACTAGAGTACATAGACTGAACAATATGATCGACGAATAACACCTCTGTGTTTATACCAGTTCCCCTTGCATTTCCTGCTTTGCCCTCTTCGGGCGTCCTTTTCCGGGTTCAGTCGAAAATTGAAGTATAGCATTGGAAGAACGACGTCAACAACGCCATGGCAGTTTTCTAGATAGGTGGCTTCCTATTGATGTAATGGGTTGTTTTATAGCGCAGCTTTTCCCATATGGGAATGTCTGTAGATTGTTGTGTACCTGTAGTAAGTTTTTGGGGGGTTTTCTTGCGCCCACTGAAGATGTATGGGTAGATCACTTTCGCATTACTAGAGTCCTAGAGTAACCCTGGAGTCTACGATGAGTCGAGATTTATAAAGAGAGTGAAATTGTTGAGATTGCCTTTTTTTTACTACGGCGTCAATATGGGGAGGTTTCTTAGTTTGGGTTTTTGAGGTATTTTTGCTTTGGAAGATGATTTATTATTATTGGAGATGGAAGAGGGAAATTGCTAGGGTCTTGAGAATAGAGGATGAAAAGATTGGTCGAGGAGGTGATGAGGACTCTGGTAGACAGATATCCATCGATTCCACAACGGGGGATTGGTTTCTCACGGCCTAGGGAAGTTTGGTTATATACAGGTGGACCTCTAGTTCTACACAGTTCCGGGAGAGGGAGGCTTAGAGATTTCAACCTAATGAAGCGAGGATTCTAATTGGCAGGGTTGATTATGATTTCAAGCAGAGGATTGTAGAGGGTATGTTGTTAAGCGATAATTGTATATTTTTGATTAGGTATATTTTTATTTTGTGAGAAACGAAGAGAATGGCTTGGAAAATTGTGATGTATTGATCTATTCTTGTTTTAAATTAAGCCGTAGATATCCTATATTGATTATTTGTGCTGATTGGTACATTTTTGGATTGCTGAATATTCCTCTTTCCATTTTTTTCTGGGCTTCCCAAGTCAGGAGTGTTGGATTCTGACAACTTGATAGTAAGCAACCCCAAGAGTGAGGAAACACTGGCCATCTTAAAAGCTATAGTCATGTGGTACTTCTTTTGGTCCGTATCCCATCAAGGAGAACAGTAATCGAGGTATCGTCCTTGTTCGAGTACTTTTGATCCGACTTTCCTCAAACGGTAAACATATCTCAGTACCAGTGAGCCCAGAAGTCAGATGTGGAGTTTACCGTCCTATACACAGGTTAGAGTTCCCTCGACAAACCTGGGAATGCCCTTATTTTCGCTCATCTTCTGAAAGTAGTTCATGGTTCGACTTGAAACTCGATAGAAACACAATCAGAGGAGTGTTTGTGATGTCATTTTCCTTTGAATCATTTCCCAAACTCGGTGTTTAAGATGAACTAGTATTTCACTTTTATCAGCATGGAGCTCCGTGTTTACGTCTCATGTCGTCTGATGATTGTGTGTAGAAGTGGAGGTGTTTGACTTTGTTAAGTATATTAATCCTAGTACAGTAGTGAAGTCTCAAAATTGGATATTATTACTAGACTAGCTTTTTGCAGCTTAAAGATGTATTACTAATCAGAAATGAGTAAGTCCTTTGACAGAGTAATTGCGTAGGATATGGCAAGTTTATTATGGAGTTCTACATGGGAGAATGGGCTGAGGAAACTACATGTTTTACCTCAACCAGATGATGGGAGATGCTGGGAATACCTACTACCACGAGTCCTAATCAACAAAAAAATGGATGCGAATCCAATCAACAAGTCTATCCTGAAATTCCCCGCCCATTGAATAGAGTAATACGTAACAACCGTGTTGATGTTTCAACCGTCCTCGAAGCTCAGAACCAATACTTCTTCGCACTCGCACTCCTACAAAACTCAAATCGTCCCAAGTATGCAAGAAGAAGCAGTAAATCCAAAGTTAGGCACGGTTCAGGCGTGTTCCGTAAGTTATGTGAGAATGACAGATGAAGCATCCCGAGCGGAAGATAACTCCCACGTTGTGGGTTGCATTCCAGCTCATGTACAAGTACCCACGGGGGTTTACGTAGTTAGCCGCTGCTTCTTGCGTGTTCTGCTCGAGAGAGGCACGAGATGCACGACGGTTCATCGCTACATACACACTTGTGTTGTACAAAGAATTTTGTTTGTATGTGACTATTTCCAAACCACGGTACGAAGATGCATGGGGATATGCTCCCCGCATATTGTTACATGAACGGTTCATTCGACCAGAGCCATCTTGCCCAATGGAATCCGAATCATGTGCCACGACGAAGTTGGAAATAGCTTCAAATGTTTCCCTCGGCGGCAGCTTTCTCTTCCGCTGCAAGACATGGAAACACAACAGCATCGAAGCGCCACTACTGAGAGATCCTGTTGGTTGCATCGCTACCAGTATCCCATAGCCTATCATGAAGGACCACTGTCAGCCTGCAGATTCTGTGACACCAGGTCACATGTTCTTGGAATAGAGTTCTCTCCGCTGCGATGACTGCATCGTTTGGCTCGCGGATTATCTTTCCCCGCCGGTTCTGCTTGCCTCAGTTCGATCGTACTCTACAGTATTCTACGGGCTACAGTGCTTTCCGTACTTGAACACCACACTGTATGTGTGACATGTCAAAGTAAGAACTTCACGCCATCAACTCCATCAACCACCCAGGTCGAGTCACTTGGTTCCCACTCGACGGCCTCGCCCTCGATGAGTCGATCTGCGGCCTCGTGGAGGCGTTTAGGCCGCTTCCAGGACCCTGCCCGCGGAATCTTTCTCTTGGCTTCGCTGAAAATAGACTGCAGCTGCAGGTGTTTCGGCCCAAGGCGGTTATTGTTCAAGGCTAAAATCATGATTATCAAAACCCTCGAGCTTGAGAACAAAGCGCGAAGATCAACGACGAGAGCCAAATCGAACAGAAACCAAGATGGAGATTGGATTTCCATGGATCATGGATGAGCAGCAGTGATGCGAGTGTGATGGAAATATCGCTGCGCACATGGGAAATTGGAAAGGCGGAGCGGAGCACGATGGCAAAAGAATCAACTGGCCGTTCGGAGTGGCCTACCATATGTTTCAACGGCTTTTGGCTGTTGAACATGCAGGCATGTTTTTCTATTTCGCGTATGTGAGACCCAATAATCCAACATGCAGGTCGCCAGACTCTGATAGTGGTTTACTTTGTAGGTAGATTTACAGTAGTAGCCCCAGAATGTCTACGAAGTCTATTTTACGGAGGGGGAGTGCCGAGGAAATTAGACTTCTAGACGCCTCCTCTATTTGCACCGAGAAGTCTGCGTTGATGAGGGTAGTTGGAGAAGCATGTTCGGATGACTCCGTAACCTGCAAAGGAAGGATGCCGATGGTCTGAAGGAAGTTATTGGTGTTGCACGTATGGAAGTACAGAAGTACCAAGTATCAGGTACTTGTCGTGATGGCGTTGGGTGGCTGAATTGAGATGTGTACTGTATGTACTTACTGTACAGTCCGGTAGGAGTAACCGCTGCAAATCTGGTTTTCGGATTCGATAAGCTCGTGTTGCTTTCCTTCCTCAAGAGGGTGTGACCTCAAATAGGTGTGGCCCATTTGTAAAGCGGAAGGCTATCCAACATGGACTTTTGTCTAACCAACATAGAAGTGACCGGGTCCCCTAGCCACTTTACGGTGTGTTCCTGGGTATCCCTGATAACTCGTAACTATACTAGTATATTATCGTAACTACTACCTCGTCGTCGCTACCTTGCCGTCGCTATTAAAATTCACTATATTTACATATAACCTTTTAGTATTATAAAAACTTGTATTATTAACTAAACTACCTTTAGCTATCTAATAAATGATAATATATATCTATATTAAATACGTTCTTCTTAGTATTAGTATCTTATATATAACGCTATAGATACTAGGGGTTCTACTCGAAGGAGTTCTAGGTATTAGCGATAAGAATAATCTTATTATTATCTTCGAGTAATCTTTATATTTACGTACGCGGAATAGGAAACGAGAGTAAAATAAGCTAGGAGTAATATTAAAAGCGAGCGAGAGTACTTAGTAAAGGTAGACTCGGTATAGGTAATTATAGTAGTAGTAGACTCGGTAAGCTAATTCTTAGTAGAATTATATTATAAAAATCGTTAAAATTATAATTATTATAAGCTTCGAGAGTATAACTTCGTAGTAATACTAACTATAGTTTAGTAGAGTTAAATAAAGTAGTAGAAACTAGTAGATTTAGTTTATTTAATCCCCGGAAGTTATTATTATTTAGCTATAAGTTTATAAAGGTATTAAAACCTTATAATTCTTAAGTTATTAAATTACTAGTACTAGAATAAGTATACTTATTACTAGTTTTAGAAATAACTTCAACTTCTAATAAATTCGAAAGATTAATGTTACTATTAGTTTATTATTAATCCTATATTCTTTTTAGACCTGTATTACTTATACTAGCCCTTATATATACCCTTTAGAGTTATATCCTAGGTACGTAAGTATTACTAACTTATATAATTTAAGTAAGTACTAGTTTAGTTATAAACTGTCTACTAATCCTTTAATACTAGTAATTCTCTAGTAGAACGTATACTAGTAAAGGTTTAGCTATAGAGCTATCGGAACTAAGAAACGTTAGTATAGGAGTATTAGGCGGTACAACTATAATAGTAGAGTTTATTCGAGGTAGTATAGTACTTAAAAAAGACTTCTTTTAAATAGAATTTAATTGGAACGCTAAAGAATCGCGATAAGTCCTCGAAAGTAGCTTTTTTATAGCTTTACTAAGTATACCTTTAGTTACCCCCTTAACTTAGATTTTATAGAATCGAGTATATCTAAGTACTTTAGTACTATTTTATCTAAAACTCTATTATCCTTTATACTATATATAAGCTAGTATAGGTAGAAGTTACTAATAAATAGGTATTTAGTAATAGTCTCCCGCTAGAATATTATATACTAGTATAGTATACTAAGAGACTCCTAGGATATATATAAGTTATATATATATATTTAAAGGTAGTATATTATAAGGAAGCTTTATACGCTTAGAAAGAGTTTAATTAAGAGTACATTTATAGATTTAAGGAATGATAATT